AAATATATTAAATACATATAAATATTATTAAAAATAATTAATTACAAACCAATTTTCTGGCCCAAACCAAACTGAAACCCAAAACATTTAGGGTTTCAGTTAGGGTTTCCTAACCCTAATCCCAGCCGCCTCAGCTTGCTGCCGTTGGATCTGGCAGGATCCAACGGTCCAGATGGCTCCAGATATAAACCCTAGGGTATGATACCCTAGGGCCACGCGGCCGCCGCTGCTGCTCTCGCCGCCTCCGCCGCTACCATGTCCCAAATAAAGACTCCAGAAGACCCAGCTGCCCTCCACACGCCATGGCTAAGGGGTGAGTCACCACTGGTAGTCTGGTGACTCACCGAGACTCACTCTTCGGACCGGTCCGAGGATCACACCGGTGGTGGCTATAAAAGCCACCACCCGAACCTGAAAAAAAAAAGAGAAAAAGAAGACAGAAAAAAAAGAAGAACACAGAGCCGGAGAAAGAAAAAAAAACAGAGAAACAATATATTTTCAAACTACTACCAACGATCTCAGTCAACATCCCACACAACCAGCAACCAAAAATAGAAGAAAAAGGAGGAGAGAAGCTTACCGAGGAAGCCGACCACTGGATCTCACCAAAACCTTCGAAAAACCGAAGGTATATTTTTTAGATTTGCTCCGATCGGGAGCCATTTAAAGGAAAAAATCATCGGAACCGTCATTAGGACGTTCCGATCTACGTTTCAATGTAAAAAAAAAAATATTCCGGCCACCGCGGACTTGACGGTGGCCGGCGGCAGAAGAACACCGGTTGACGGTGGCCGGCCGGCTGGCTTCTCTCTGTTTTAGAGAGAAGCAAGAGAAAAATTCTCTCTCTCAGAGAAGAGAGAGAGAGGAAAAATGAAGAAATGAAGCTGGCCCTTCGGGCCAGCCGGTTTTTGGACCTTATATAGGCCTTCCCGAACGACGTCGTTTCGGGAAGGACTATGCGTGTAATTAGATAATAGTTAAACCCCGTCCGCCGTCCTCCTAACTTGTAAACTTTACATTTTAGTCACTAAATTGAATTTATAATACTTTTAATTTGATCTCGAAATTTTAATTTTATTTATTTTAGTCCTTTTTATTAAAATAATATATTTAGGATAAATAACAGATTTAATCCCTTAATTTTAATAAATAATATTTTAATCCCTAGTTTATATTTTTAATTTATTTTATTATAATATCCTAATTTTAGATAATTTTATTTTAGTCATTAAATAAATAAAATAAAGAAATAGCATGTTTAATCCCTAATATTTCGATTAATTATGAATTAGATTTTTAATTTTATTTTCACTGTAATTTAGTCATTTATTTTATATGTTTTCATTTATTTTATTGCTTTTAAAATATATTGTTTTAGTGGTATTTTTATTTTATTTGTTTATATTTTTAAATATTTTTATGTATTCATAAATATATATATATAATAAATAGTAATTAAATTTTTAAATATTTATTTTTAATATCGAAGAAACGGACAGTCTTAATACAACTGGATGTCATGTTCTGGTATTTTAAAATTAAACAATATTATTTAAATTAATATTTATCAATATCAAAGAAAAGAGCTGTCTTAAGGCACCTAGAAGATCTTTTCTGATATTTTTAAATAAATAAATATTTTTTTATATAATTTTGAAATAATAGGATTATAAATTAAATATATTTTTGAATTTTTAAAATTTTAATAATAGAGACAATTTATAATTAAAAAGTACCAATTTTGGGCGTTGTAGGGGTGCTAATCCTTCCCTAAACGTAACCGACCACGAATCCCTTTTTATTATTAAAAAGAACGAATTTTTGGTTATAAACGCAGATCAGTTAATTTTTTTATTGATGTTTTCTTAAAACTCTTTAAAAAAAATTTTTTAGGTATTCGACCTACCTGATCCAAAAGGTCGATGGCGACTCCCAAATTATTTTCAAAACTATTTATTCACATCAATTTTCCCGCCAAGTATAATATTTCGTGCCCGGACGAAAACCGGTTACGACAAGTTCGAATGAAACTATCACTCATGTTTCGTTTTAAAAAAAAACACTGATTTTTCTAAAAAAAAACTTAACATGTTTCGAACAAAGAAAATAAAAAAAAATTACATAGTTTTTAATCTAATAACCAACGATCCAGCAGTTCTTAATTTGTTGCAAATGGATCCACAGTTGGGGATTGTTTAGAGTGACAATGTTCTCACAGACAAGGAAGGCCTGCGAAAACAACTGTTGACGCTGAAAACGGCCGGTATCGATGCAGTAATGTCCGACGTGTGGTGGGGGATATTGGAAGCAAAGGGTCCAAAGCAGTATTGCAGTGCATATCGGAGCATGGCTGAGCTGGTTAAAGAATGTGGGTTGAAGCTACGAGCTATCATGTCCTTCCACCAATGTGGTGGGAATGTGGCAGATGAAGTGTTCATCCCTATCCCGAAATGGGTGCTCGATATCGGGGAATCCTACCCCGATATCTTCTACACCAATCAGGCCGGTAACCTTAATAAGGAGTACCTCTCTCTCGGAGTGGATCATCTGAATATTTTCCATGGAAGAACTGCTGTCCAGGTTTGTCATTGTCTTATCTTCATGTAAATTATAACCGAATGGTACGTAGACAAGGACTGGGCCATTTTGGTATAGGTATAATGTCAAAAGTACCCCTAGTGTTTAATTAAATAATCACTTTAGTCCTTTTTTCTTGAGCATTTGGCCCTCAAATGTTTTATTTTAGGGGCAAAAATCTCTACTTTAGAGCGTTGACTAATGGTTTCCATCCACAAAGGGATATTTTTCCCCCAAAAATGAAATATTGAGGACCAAAATGCTAAAAAAAAGAATGGAGTCAAAATAACTATTTAATCAAACGTTATCGACTTTTTTTATCATTATGCCTATAGTGTATTCATTTTTAACCTCTTTGTTTCTTAATTAAATCTCTAGACTTTTGCCTTCTATTTAAAAATCCGACTTGTGTCGATTCTAAATATAATCTAGACTCATGTGATTATCAGACACTCTCCATGAAAATTTAGGTTTACGGGGACTTCATGAAGAGCTTCAAGGAGGCAATGGCGGATCTGATTGAAGATGGGGTCATAATTGACATTGAAGTGGGACTTGGTGCTGCTGGAGAGCTTAGATACCCCTCTTATCCACAAGATCAGGGATGGTTTTTCCCTGGCATTGGAGAATTTCAGGTAGATTTTTTTGGACCTATTACTAACATTATAAAGGTAAAAGGACCAAAAAGGAGAGGAAAATTGTTGTTTGGTCACTTAGGAAATTGTGAAATTATAAATTAATCTAAAGTTCAAAATGACGCTTTGGCCCTCCTCAAGAAATTGGCTTCACCCTGACAATTATGGTTAATGGTGTTGAAAATTGGACCTATTATTAACATTATAGAAGTAGAGGGATCAAATTATGCCAAATTGTGTTAATGACTACAGTCTACATTTTAAAATGTTATCAATTTGGTCCTACTATTAACATTATAAAAGTAGTGGGTTTAAATCCGAAGTTCAATATTATAGAAGGATTAGAACCACAATTAGACCATATGTAAGATCATGGGCCTGAAGCTTTGGTTTTAGATCAGTAACACTAAAAAAAATGGAGTGCAGTGCTATGACAAGTACCTGAAAGTAGCATTCAAAGAGGCAGCTACAAAAGCAGGTCATCCCGAATGGGACGTGCAGGACAACGCAGGGGAATACAACGACACAGCCGAAGAAACCGAGTTTTTCGGACCGAACGGAATATATCTCACCGAGAAAGGCAAGTTCTTCTTGACATGGTACTCCAACAAGTTACTCACACATGGAGACGACATCCTCGAGGAGGCGAACAAGGCTTTCCTAGGCTGTAAGCTCAAGTTAGCAGCCAAATGATCGAAAACACACGTACTTCGAGGAAAACCGAAGAGTTCGGATTATCTAATGTTTTTGTGTTTTCGTATATGTCATGCTAAGGTATCCGGGATTCACTGATGGTACAAATCCGAGAGCCATGCTGCCGAGCTTACTGCCGGGCACTACAACTTGTCTGACTGAGATGCGTACCGTCCCATTGCGAGGATGCTTTCGAGGCACGATGAGGCTATCTTGAACTTCACTTGTCTTGAGACGAGGGACACCGAGCAACCTGCGGAAGCCAAAAGTGGACCTCAAGAACTTGTTCAACAGGTGCATTAGACATCAATAAACTTCCAAACGTTCTAATCGAAACCTCGAAGTTTGTTCTAATCGAATCCTCGAAGTTTCATCTTAGTTCCGTACTTACGTATCATATGAACAGTTTAGATCGAACATGTGCGTGATTGATGACAGGTTTTAAGTGGAGGATGGAGAGAACACATTGAAGTTGCAGGCGAGAATGCCTTGGCAAGGTACGACAGCAATGCTTACAATCAGATCCTGTTGAACGCAAGGCCCAATGGTGTGACCGAGAAAGAAAACCGAAGATGCACGGCGTCACATATCTCCGAGCATCCGATGATTTATTCAAAGAAAACAATTTCGCACTATTCAAAATCTTCGTCAGGAAAATGCTTGCCGACCAAGTAAGTAAACTTAAAGCTTTTCTTTGTTCAAAACTCGAGTTCGACTTAATTTCACTTCCTTTTTCCGTTTATAGGAGTACTGCTCTGACCCTGGGAAGTACGGTCAAAACTAAAGCCAATGCAGCGATCGAAGCCGAAGATTCCAGTCGATGAACTCATTGACACAACCAAGCCATTGGAACCTTTCCCTTGGGATGAAGAAACAGTTATGAAAGTTGATGGCTGAATTATATAAAGAGACTTGAGTGTATGGATTATAATAACTTAAAGAATAAAGCTTAGTCATTATATATATATATATATATATATATATCAGCTGTAATGCAGAAAATCAGTATGCACTGTATTAATCTAAATATCAGCCTTTTTAATATGCACATTGGTAGGAATCACTCGTCTAAGTAAGCTTCATCAGCTTTTACACTAAAAGAACCATTAAAAAAGCTTTGATTACAACACTAAACTTCCCAACCTTCAATGCCTTTCAATGATGTATCCGGAAACGATGTCATTGAGAGTTATTTTCTCGTTTTCAAGGCTCCGTTTTAACGCAACATGGGAAGAGAAACGCTTCCGATCTGTATTCATTAGAACGATGATGGACCCGTTGATGAATATCCAGCAGCTCTCATCTTCTTGAGTGTTCCGGCTAACCAGTCCAAGCCTTCATAGAGGCCGTCTCCTCTGTGCGCGCAAGTGCCTTGTATGTGCCATTTTCGGTTCTTCAGATCGAAAAGTCCTAACCCTTCGCATACCTCCATCGGGCTCATTGCTCCTTTCTGGAAAAAAGAAAACATCAAACTAGCTCTTTCCATCAGCTTCAGAAAACAAGTTTGATGGAACGGTAACCACTAAAAACATTATATATCGATGCTCGGGAAACATTGATGAGAACAGAGAATAACATACGTCGGACTACTCAAAATCGCATGCTTTGATTCTAATAGTTCCTCTAGTAGATACCATATTCATTCCGCAATGTACACGGAGATAAACACGGGTATGAAACAACTGCAGAAAACATACCATGTCCTGTTTGTTGGCGAACACCAAGATGACGCTGTTGAGCATAAACGGGTCGTTGATTATAGTCTGAAAGAATACAAATTGAAAAATTCAGACCGTGTTAAGCCCAAATGTCTAACAAATTTGCGTTCATGCTAAATTTACAACCTGAAATTCATGTTTAGCTTTCCCGATCCTCTCCCGATCCAAGGAGTCAACAACGTAGATCTGCACAGACATAGTAAACGAGAGAGGTGAATGTGCTTATCTTTTCACTCAGTAGCGAAGAACATCACCAAACCCTGAAAAAATAAAAAAGAATGCAAAAAGTGAAGGAGAGAGCTAATTATCACCAATCCATCTGTATTATTGAAATAGAGCCTCCAAAGCGGCCTCAGTTTCTCTTGTCCACCGACGTCCCAAACCGTGAACATCACATTCTTGTATTGAACTTTCTCCACATTAAAACCTGAAGGAGATATTGATAAGAGCTCGGCACTCATATCAACTTGTCGTATCATAATGTTAATAACATCTAATTTAATGCCCTAAATTTCAACCAAAATGTTCATAAAGCACCTATGGGGACAAAGACTAGAGAAGAATGATTTCTATATCCCGAACAACAATCATACGGCCATACAAAGCAGGCGCATGACACCATCGTGAGGACCTTCTTAAATAATCAGTAACAACTAGCATGATAAAAGATTACTGAATAACAATATTTCCTTAGACCATAATCCCTTAATTGTGATTTGGGCAACCGGGAAATGTAATCTTTTAGTATAGCCCCGCTAGTCCACTGGGCAGGTTTGCTAGTTTTACGAAGCCGTGTAATTTTTAGAGAACAAGGGCTGAGAAAGCATCAAATGACCCCAAAAAAAGGCTCACACGATATGCAGGGTCCAGGAAGGTCCTAATGTAAGCAACCTTCCACCTGTTTTACATATAGATGATGTTTATATGGTTCAAACACCAAAACCAAACAGATAGAAAGCTGACACTAGATTATCACGCCAAGCATAACGAAATCAACAAAATAAAACTTGATCCAAGCCATTTTCAAGAGTATCGTCGCAAAAGTACTTTTTTAAGCTATTATGGGATATGTTGCCTACCAATAGTGGGGACAGTCGATAAAACTTCTCCGATGTGCAACTTGTACAATATTGTTGTTTTTCCAGCTGCATCAAGGCCAAGCATCACAACCTAAGCCATATGAAAGATTTATCTATTAATATCTTAGCACCTAAATTCAACAAACAAGTAAATTAAGCCACTTTCGGACTTTACACGCTCCGTAGTAATCACAGAAAATTCAACAACACAATAAGCATAAAACTATGGAACTATATAAATACATTACAAATCCTTTTAGGAATACATCAAAACCTAAATGACATCAAGATGCAATTAGTGTAACTTCATGTTTCAAAGTTACAGATGAACAAGATAACTAATTCAGGAATAAATTCAAAAATAAATATTGTATATTTTCCAGATAAGAAAGCCACCTAAAAGGTATATTAGAACAGCGGAAAGGTTCCCTTCACATTGGCTAGAATATCCGGTTTAATAGGATCGTTATCATCTTCCATGGCTAGGAACTGCCAAGAAATATTCGAGACGAAAATACTTTTGCCAAAAGAAAATTGACAGATGTTAAGAAACATAACCCATAATTTAATGCATAGGAGGACTCAAGAATGGAAAAAGGTCTACAAATTTTAAACATTTTAGTCCTGCATTATTGATTATACATCCTATATAATAGGACTCGAAAGTCGAAATCAATAGCAAATATCTAAGTGAGCCTCAGCAAGAGTGAAAACAACAAAGGCAAATTAAGTTACTCTAAGTTCTAGTTATGATTAACAACCGAACCATCTAATTGTTGTGTTTTTCATTCATCTCATTTAAGAAAGAACAAGCTATGGCAAATAATGAAGTGTGAACATTTGGGATTATTTTCTTTTCCACCAAACAACATAATAAATGAACAACACTCACAGCTTACAACTCAAAGATCGAATTTTTGACTCGAAAGGCAACGATACTCATACTATACAAAACACCCAAAAGTGACAAATGGTCCATTCAACAACAAAAAAAAAAACTTAATACAATCAAGTATTTCGACATCAGAGGTTGACCCAAATCTTTTAACAAGAATGTAATGAAAAGCAACGACAAGATTCAGCTAAATTAGAGAAATTTTACCAAGTTTCTAGCTTTAAGATAAGATCTTCAGCATAAAAGACATAATATCGGCCTAAAACAATCCGAACATGAAGAAAATTCTAAATTATCAACCCAAAAAAAAAAAGGAAAAAGGAGAGAGATTGAAAGAATACCCTCATCTCATAGTTACCAAAAAAGGTGTCGAAAAGCTTGCGAAAAGCTTGACCCATCCTTATAAATTATCGATGAAAACGACTTCTGATTCAGATTGTTTCCCCTTTTTCGTTACTGGGTTGTCTTTTTTCTCTTTCTAAAAGCAAACTATGAATTCTGGGTTATGAGAGAGAAAATTCAAGCAGGAAAAAAAACTTTTTTGAGAAAAAAGGATGATTTTGATTTTTGGGTTTTGTTTTCTTTTCTTTCCATTTTCCAAGCAGTTTCGTGGTAAGAGTAGAACCCATGCGCGAGTAGGGATGTCAAGTGGGTACAATTTCGTGGATTTCGTATCGTACTCGTTTTAATTAGAGCGGAGATTGGTATAATTTTAGTGGGTAGTGAGCGGGTGTGGATTTAGAAAGTAGTACCCGTCGCGGGTAGTGGGCGGGTAATGGGTTTGAGACCTCACCCGCCCCGCATCCGCCCCGCATCCACCCGCCCGCATCCGCCCGCCCCACATCCGCCCGCCCAACTAAATATCTATTAAATTTTGGACCATTATGAATTTAGGTATAATTTTAAGATACTAATTTATAAATCCTAATATTGTATAAGATATAACTTGTAATTTAACCAAATATTAGGGATAAGTTTATGTATAATTTTTTTTCTTTCAAACCTCTTGTCTTCACTCTTCAGCTTATTCATGTATGTTTCTTCATTTTTTACTTGAAATTTAATTTTTGTAAGAGTCAATTTCGTAGTCATTTCGTTTTAAGCTCCTCTGCATTTCGTTTTAAGAGTTTAATTTTTTTGCTCGTACTGATTTTTAATTATTTTTTAGATTCATCTTAATGTTTGTTTTAAGCTTAATTTCTTAATGTTCTACAAATCTGTATCTTGTGACTGAGCACCTACGTTTTTAACGCCACTGAATAGAATTAAGTGTTTCACTTGTGCTTCTCAAACCTCCATTTTTAACGCCATTGAAACTGACTTTTTCAAATTCAAATTTTAACCGAGTAGTGTTTTATTATGGTGTTTTATGAGAATGATGATTGTAATACTGGAGTATCAGATGTCACAAGTATTGCTTGAAATTTTATAATGTTGTGCCAAAGAACAAAAACATTATGTGTTTGTCATTTATGTTTCTATGCTTTAATTATGTCTTTTATTATGATGTTTTATGTACTTTAAGATCTATATTAACACTTAACTCAGATAATCATTGGTTTATTTTATTATGTTTCTTAATAGATGTGTTTGTTTTATGTTTGTTGCTTATGTATAACTTAAGTTTGTTGTCAGACGGGTCTAGCCGGGTACGTCTCCAGTGGGTAGTGGGTGTGGGGATGGATTTAAGAATGTACCCGCATGGGCGGGTGTGGATTTAAAATTTTTTACCCATCATGGGTGGTGGGCGGGTGGTGGATTGAAAAATATTAGGTGGGTATGGGGATGGGGAGGGGGTATCCGCACCCGACCCGACCCGCCCGTTTGCCATCCCTATGTGGGAGGAAATGGACATATTCAATTTTTTATTGTCTTTGAATTATTTATAGTAATTGTTTATAATTTATCATAATAAATTTAAAAGTAAATTACGTATTTAATATTTAAACTATCAGTTTTGTCTGTTTTTTAACTTTCAAAATCTTCAAACTGTACTTAACGTTTAGTTTTTCATTTTATTTTAGTGATCTACCGCTAAAAATTTATCGAGTTTAGTACATAAATTATTTTAGTATGTTTTAATATATAAACTTTCAATCTTTTATAAACTTAACGTTAAATTTTAAACGGGCTCTAAAACGAAACAAAAACTAAAGTTTTTAACGATGTGTACTAGAATGAAACAAAAATTGAACTTTAGGTATGGTTTTAAAAAAAATTTGAAAGTTTACGTACTGAAACGGATCAAAACTGATAGTTTAGGAAATAAATATGTAATTTACCCTAAATTTAAACCAAATTCATGCATGATGGATCATATACATATACATATGCATGAACAAAATTATTATAAAAAATTACAAAATAAATTGAAATAAAAGTTTACTATAATATTGCTCAGATACATATGCATGAACAAATTTCATACATTTAAGCTTAAAGTTGTGGCATTCAAGTTCATCAAATACTCATTTCAAAGGGAAACACCAATCACTAGAGGTACCAAAATAGTAGTAATTATCAGTTTAAACACTTTCTCATCCCATGAAAATTGTGAACACCCGGGGCTGCTGCCTGCCGGATGTGGTGCAGGCGCCATGAAATCGTCAACGAGGGGATTAAGTATGGGACCGCCGGCGGTGGTAACGGCGGCAGTGAATCCACCGGAGAGGTAAGCGGTGCCACGGAACCTCCGTTGTTGGAGCAAGTACGTAGAGTTACATTACTCACCAGACTCAACACCACATCGAAGCCGTGCCATCGGATTGAACCCGCGGTGCATGAATTAGGGCTGATGATTCTAACGTTGTTGTTGACAAAACTTCTCCAGGTACCGCCGTTCGCGACGTTCATCGCATATTCGAGCAACGAACTGGGGAGAATCGAACCAACGGGACATACAAAAGGTGCTCGAAGATCAACTGAGAAGGGATTGAATGACGTTGCAAGAAGGTGTGGACTTCGTTCTCGAGGATCACCGTCTTCGACAACATCCAATCGTTCGACATCAAGAAAGTGACGTTGGCGAGGAATTTCGAGTCCAACGGCGACATATTAAGAAGCATTGCGAAGGTGAAGTAGCTAGCTTTCTGCATCTCTTCCATCGCGACACGAAGGTCTTGGTTATTATCGGGAGAAAGGGTCGTAGTTGTCGAACATGATGATTTGTGGAGTGATATTAGGAGAGTAACAATGGTGATTATTATGGGAGTTGTTGCCATCGGCTTGGTGGTCATTTTTGGGTGATGGGATGAGCAAATTTTTCATGGGGACCTTTAGGGTTTCTTATAAAGGGAGCATAGTTTATAGGTATAATTGTTGGGGACATGCTTTAATCTAATAACTGAAATTTGGTAGACCCAAATGAATGTTAAATGTATAATATTATATATATATATATATATATATATATATATATATATATATATATATATATATATATATATTAAAAAATCATTTTTATTTAATTTATTAATTGGTTAATTTGAATTAAGTGTTGCAGAAACTCGTTATAGAGATGATCTTCTCATCTCATTTTATTCTATTGAAAACGCTAATATTTAAAAATACCCTCGTTATTTAAGGATAGCCCTCCCTTATTAAAGGATTTCTCCCTCCATTCTATACCATAGAATTTCATTTGAATAATTTTAACAAATTTTAAAATTTAGTTATTTACCTAGAAAAAATCTCAATCATCAACCAAAAATTCCTTAAATTAAATCATATTGGGGTGTTTAAATTCAACAATTCCACCACCCCTTCAATGAAAAACACATTCCATATCTTGAACCCTAAAGAGTTTTCACCCAGCAAACATGTCTTCGTTCTCAATTGGAGTGATCTTCCTCGCCCTCCTCTCCTTTGTTCCGTCCCTCTGCTACGGCCAGAACAACCCCTCGAAAATGCACCCGGAAATCACCTATCATGGCGGCCCTATCCTCAACGGGACCCTAAACTTCGCCCTCATTTGGTACGGCAAGTGTAGCGTCCTCAAGAGAACCACCATGGTCAACTTCTTGACGTCCTTGAACAAAGAAGGCGATCCCGATCTCAATCCTAAGGTCACGCGGTGGTGGCAGACGATCGAGAGCTACCAAACTGCGGTGCCGGGAGGAGGAGAAGCCAAAGCACATCACTCGAACATGAAAATAATTGTGAATGTGACGAAACAGATAGATGATACTTCGTATAAATATGGGAGGAATTTGACCATTGCGGGTTCTATTCCGAAAATTGTACATGAACACATACATGATCAACCTGACCTCATCCCCATTATAATTACTGCAAAGGATGTAGTTATGGAAGGACTCTGCTCTGGAAAATGTGCCGATCACGGACTTATAGGTAAGTTTGCACAACCTTTTACTTCTCTTTTATTTAGGTAAAGTACACAGATCATCCCGACTATAAGACGTTATTGTATTGTGTCATTCGCTTATTAAAAGTTATACAATGGTCTCTCGACTATAAATTATTGTTTTGTTGAGTAATCCGACTATTAAAAGTTATAAAATGATCATCCGACTAATCATATATCAAACTCATCTTTTTCCGTTAGAAAAATGACAACTATATTATTTGAAAGTTAACATGTTGACTGAGATATGATAAAATGTAATCACATAACCATTAGAGATGTATTTTATTGATTGACTCTTTGTTACATTATGTCGTTGAGTCAATGCTTCAAATATTATGTCGTCGAGCTAGTGTTTGAACACAACAGTGGTGTTTGTATACATCATTAAAGTATAATTTTATCATATCTCAGTAAGCAGATTAATGTCCAACTCGGACGTTCATCAATTTTTTAATGAAAAAAGATGGGTTTGGAACGTATGAACAGTCAATTGACTATTTTATAAATTTTAATACTCAGTGAACTCAATAAAACAGTTCCCTATAATTGAGGGATCATTTTATAACCTTTAATAGATTCAATAAAGCAACGCCCTATAGTGTGTGGGGACATTTATATACTTTACCCCTTCCATTTTTGAACATCTCGTACTACAAACTTATTATTTGTTCACATTTTTTGAATTGAAGATAACAACAAACCATACATTATACTCGGGAATCCGGAAATCGAGTGCCCCGGAAAATGCGAATGGCCTTTCAATGATGTCGACAACGGTCCGAAGTCGATTATCTTTCTCCGACCGCCGAACCAGAATAAGGCAGCCGATGCGATGGTGATCGCCTTGGCGACGACTTTGGCCGACATGGTCACTAACCCTCTAAACACAGGCTTCTACGGCGGATCCGAAAAAGCTCCGCTCGGTGCCGGATCGGTCTGCAAGGCGATCTTCGGTAGCGGCGCCTTCCCGGGGAACCCGGGCAAGGTCCGTATTGACCCTGGCACCAGTGGAAGCTTCAATGCTCATGGGTACCAGGGCGATAGGTTTCTTCTTCCTGCTGTATGGAACCCTACAACTTCTTCATGTTGGACTCTCATGTAACAGGCTTGGAGTAAAATGAGAAGGTCGGGTGACGATTGAAAAAAATGTGGTGTATATGTGTTTAAAAATTTAATTCGAATAATTTAAATAGGTTGCATGTCATATAAAAATGAAATGTAATGCTCAAATATATTGTTAGATTGATGAAAGAACATGAATAAAATAATATTGATCATTTGAATACTCGATCGTAATGTTCTATAGTTTGTGGATCAATTTAAAACTTAGACGTGATTTAAAAATGTCTGGTATAATAATTCTTAAAATAATATAATAGGGATTTAAATTGTTGTTGCGAACGCTTTTTTCATTGTGTAGCATTTAATGTTTCTCGTGGTTGCGGACGTAATAGATGTTATTACGGTCACCGCGAGTATTGTGGTCGTGAATGTTTTTTAAATGTGCACAATTCATTGTAAAACATAATAATTTTAATGGTCGCAGCGGACTGTTGGATTTTTTAAAATTTTATAGTGATGAAACAATAGCGGAAATAACAGTCCGCTATTACCTTTATTGACTATTACTCGTTAAATTACTAGTGTTATACTGGTGTAAAGATATTAATGATATTTATGACTGCATATGAATACTGTTCAACTATGTATTTATGTATTTATTTATACATGCTTTGCATTTTATCTATATTTTTAATTTTCTGACTGTCGGAGGTCTTCCACGGAAGCTACTCTCAACCTGGCGTTGGGGACAGCCTACTACCCTACCTCCCCTTACCCCATTGCATATAGAAATTGGGTTTTGTTGTTGTTGTTGTATACTGGTGTAAAGATGTTTCACACCTCTATTTCCGACAATGATATTTTCAAATATTGTCATTATTGTTATATAACGGACACTATTATAACAAAATTACTATTTAAATCCTTGATAATACCGGTGTACCATTCTTTTAAAAAAAGAATTTGGTTGCCCTTCCGCTTCTTAAGGTTTTGCTTTGACTAATATGGATTGACCTGGGTCGTACATGTGGCTTTAGTGGGTGAGTCTCCCAGTGGGGATTTTTTGCGTACACAGACTCAAACTCGAGACTTGCTTAAGCGATATCAAGCTGCTTACCACTTGAACCAACCCCGTTGGTATTCTTTTTAAATTTTGATTAACAAGTAAAGAACGAATTAAATATTCAATGAATCTTATGTCTTAAATTTGCTAATCCCTTCATAATATAATACATGGGCAACATTTTTCCACAGCAAAATTATGGCAACACACCTCATTATATTTAGAAAACAACAAAGGTTAAAGATTATTTACTTATTATTTCAAAAAAAAAATATCATTTGTATTTAATACATTTATCTTTTATAATTGGTAGTAGAACTCCACCAGTTATTGATCTTGTGTATTTTTCCTTTCTATTTTATTTTATAAATATTAATTTTAATTATATTTTCTTCACTGTTATTAATAATAACTTTTTAAAAACTTCCTCAATCTATTGATAATGCACACACACTATATAGATGCAGCTGCTCGAACACAAGATCTCTAAGGAGAACAACACTTCTTTTAATTACTGAGACATGTTAAGTTAATGCTCAAACCCTGCAGAAACAATTGCTCGATCATAGGATCTCTAAGGAAAACAACACTCACTTTAACCACTGAGATCACTCGATGAATTCATAATACGAGATTACTCAGTCGGGTACTTTAGAACTTTTTTAATCATAGAATACTGAATTTAACAAAACAATAATACATTGCGAATCCCATAAATCACACAAGTATTTAACAACAATTTCATTGTGTGCATAGATATACACAACAAAAACATATGCAGACATTGAAATAAAGCTTAAGTCACCATGTTTTTCATGAATTCCAGATAAGAAGTAAAGAAAATAAGAATTATCTCCATCACACATAGGATAGTAAAAAATATGGAGAATCCAATTTAAAATATCCTAAAAGTGGAAACAAAGTTAAGAGACTAACCCTATATGGATAATGTTAAGGAAAACAAATGAAACAAACACATCAAGCCTGCTGGCAGGGCCAAGCCATGGCTGGTCTCATTGTTTACTTCTGGTTGCTACTTCCCTTCTTCTTCAGTAGGTTCCCGAATTTACGGAGTAAAGGCTTCTTCTTTTTATGTTGTTCCTGCTTTGATGGTGAGTTCCCGCCATCATCGACGATTTCTGTGGAACCATTTATCTGATCAAAACCCTCACTAGCATCCGCCTTTGAATCAACTTCCTCGTCAAAGGATTCTTCTTGCTCGGGTTCCCCTTCTGGTGAAAATTCCTTCTTTTCGATTCTGCAGCTTTCCCACATCTTAAATTCAGTATCAACTGACTCTACTGAATCATTCTCCTTTTCTTTTGTCTCGTGTCCGTTCATGTCCAACACTTTGGCACTGTCTGCTTGAAGAGCCTCATCTTTCGAGCCATCATTCACATGCGGAGAGCTTTCATTTTTGGACTCGTCAGGATGTTCTGATGACTTGGGCTTGTCTCTACTTCCATGCCCGTTCTCTTCTGAGAATTCAACCACCTTAGGCAGCAAATCGTAGTCCTTGTCACTGTCGGTTAGCTCACCGTTTTCCTTGCTTTGCTTTTTTATTATAGCTTCCTCTAACAGCTTAGACAACTCCTCAACTTTCTTAAGAGAAGCAACTTCCCTTGCTATGAGTTCATCGTTTTCTTGAATGACACTCTGCAACTCAGTTTCTTTATAGAACAAACTCTCCTTTAATTTCGTGCTCTCAATCTTGACTTCCTCTAGAGATTCTTGCAGATAAATCACCTTAGATTCAACTTCCTTTAGGCTATCCTTCAACCGAATTTCTTCCTCCTTGGACTCAGAAGCCTCTTGAATGACACTCTGCAACTCCGTTTCTTTAGCCAGCAACCTCTCGTCTAGTTTCATGCTCTCGGCCTTGACTTTCTCTAGGGCTTCTTGCAGATAAATCACCTTAGATTTAACTTCCTTTAGGCTATCCTTCAACAGAGTTTCTTCCTCCTTGGACTCGGAAGCCTCTTGAATGGCACTCTGCAACTCAGCTTCTTTATCCAACAAAGTCCTTTTTAATTCCATGCTATCGGTCCTGACTTTCTCCAGAGCTTCTTGCAGATAAATCACTTTAGATTCAACTTCCTTTAGGCTATCCTTCAACCGAGTTTCTTCCTCCTTGGACTCGGAAGCCTCTTGAATGGCACTCTGCAACTCAGTTTCTTTATCCAACAAACTCTCCTTTAATTTCATGCTCTCAGTCTTGACTTCCTCTAGAGCTTCTTGCAGATAAATCACCTTAGATTCAACTTCCTTAAGGCTATCCTTCAACCGAGTTTCTTCCTCCTTGGACTCAGAAGCCTCTTGAATGACACTCTGCAACTCGGTTTCTTTATCCAACAAACTCTCCTTTAATTTCGTGCTATCAGTCTTGAGTTCCTCCAGAGCTTCTTGCAGATAAATCACCTTAGATTCAACTTCCTTTAGGCTATCCTTCAACCGAGCTTCTTCCTCCTTGGACGAAGAAGCCTCTTCCTCGGATTGTTTTAGCAAATTTACCAACCTATTAATTTCTTTGTGTATAGAAGAGTTTTCTTCATCCGACTTCTTTACACAATCTACTAAATGCAGTTCTTTTTGTTCCCACTCGGTTATGGAATTCTGATGTTCATTCTTGGATTGTTCAATGGTATTTGTCAGAAGATCAATCTCCTTTTTTGCATCATCGAGCATGGTTTTGTACTTCTCATCTGTTGCTTTCAGGAACAACCTTAGCTCCTCTAACTGGGTCTTGTACTTTTCATTGTCGGTTTCACAGGATAAGAGCTTCTCCTTAGCCTCCCTAGCTTCTGCAGAAACTTCATGCAAGGCTGAAGCTAAGCTTTCCATTGCTTTCCTGCTCTTCTCTTCCTCATCCTTAGAATTTTCCAACTCATTAATGAGTTTCTTCTTCTCTTCTAAAAGAGTTTGAACACGGGAAACTGCAAGCTTCTCATTATCTAAAGCTCGGGTCTTTTCTTCTTTCACTGTTTCTAATTCGGACTTTAGAGACTCGACCAACTTCCCTGCTTCTGCATTTTCTTCCTTAGCCGTATTAATCTGGTGTTCTGATTCCTCAAGATCCCTTCTTTGTGTACCGATCATCATTTCCAGTGATCTCACTTTCTGTTTAAGAGAAGCAATTTCAGATTCTGCATCTTGCAATGAATCATTGCTGCTTTCTAATTGCTTCATGACTGCGTTTAGAGATTCCGATGTAGATCTTTCTAACTTCTTCGCTTCCTCAATCTTCATTTCTAATTTTTCAACCCTATTACCCCATTCATCTAATACATTGCGTGTATACGATTCAGCCATTTTCGCAGCTTCTAGATCAACATTAAGTTGTTCGACATATGCCTCGTTTTCCACCAACTTCTCCTCATAGGCCTTTGCTTTCTCAACTTTTTGTTTGAATGATTCTATCTCTTCCCTGAGCTTCAACACCATTTCATTGTTTTCATTAATCTCTCTTTCACGCTTCAACTCAAGCAACGACTTCAACCGAACCAATTCCGCCGAGAGAATCTCCGCCTTCTCGGCATGAATTTCAGCAATCTTGGTTGCATCATCAGCATGATTTAATGCTTGGTTTTTTGTATCACAAGTCATGGCTAGTTCCTGCTTCACCCGTTGAAGCTCCTGAGTGGTTGAGACGAGAGCAGCAACATCCAGAGCATGCTGGTTCCTAACGGATTCGATTTCTATCTGCCATTCTTCATCTTTCTTCTGAGCAGCATCCATCTCCACCTGTTCCAACTCCAAAGCTCGGAACTTTTCAATCTCTGAGTTCTCTTCGGCTAGCTTTTGTGCAGCCAAAGCCTTTCGAAGCTTTTCATTTGCTTCTTCAGCTGCTTTCCGTGCTTCTTTCAGTTCATCAATTGCTTGCGCCTTCTCTTTCTCGATCAATGATATTTTCTCATTTGCCTTCTTTAAATCCTCCTGAACCGAGTTCAACTGAGCTTGCAACTCTAATCCCTTACCCACCCGCGTTGGCGGTTTCTGATAATCAAACCCAACCGATAAAGCAAATGAAAATCCATTAACTTCATAATTAAAGCAGTAGATTATTTGTTTCTCTTTCCTAATACCGGTTTTTTCCTCACCAAACATCAAAATATACAAAATGATTCATATCAGATAACACATTTTCTTTTCTAAATATTATTTGAAATACAACTCAGTATCGGGAAACATCAACAAAATATGAACACAGGTTCGGAATCCTCATAACCGAATCCCATATCAACAAATCCAATAGAACTTACATCTAGCATGAAACATGTAAGATCAAACACCTAATTGTTTGACAACATTGACTTAATAACTTACTTCAGGCGGCGTGGAAACCTTCGGTGATCTACGAACAGCTGTAGGTGTCGAGTTAAGAGATAGCCTCTGCAGTCGATCGCCTGACTGACGAGCACTTTGCAATGGGGAGGGAGAACCGGGTTCCGGCTTAGCCAGTCCCTTGCTTACTTTACTTGCCACTCTAGGTGTAGCCGGTGAAACCTTGGTTGGAGTATCAGATGAACTTGATCTGTACAGATTGTGCATAAGGTCAAAGTCCCATCACTTTAAACAAACAATAGCAAAGAATATAAACAAAATTCATGAGCAAATCAAATTAAAGATGGATTTTATCTAAAAAATGGCAACTTTTTTTCCACATAATTTGGCAAGATAAAACTATTATATCAAATTAAACACTTGAAATTTGAGTAAAACCCATTTGACAAATAGAATCAAAGAACAAGATCGACTACAATCTTATGAATTTGAGTGAAACAAAGGGTCTTTAAATGTCAAATTACAAGAATCATATGAACAAAAGAAACACCCAAAATTTTCAATACTTAAAATTCGAGCAAAACCCATTTGAAAAACAGAATCAAAGAACAAAATTAACCAACAATTTATGAATTTGAGTGGGAAAAAAGGTCCATAGCATGAGCCTAAAAGCATCAAGGAGCAGATTAAACAAAATCCCAGAATTTAGCATAGAGAAAAGGCATCACATGAACTAAAAAATGAGCAGTCCAAAGAAAGTAAAGAAAACCCAAGTCAGATCTAAGTCAAAAATTAGGAATTAAGGAACAAAGCATGAAGTTCATAAAGAGAAAAGAAAACCCAGAAAGAGAGAGAGGTGAACGTACTTGGATTTAGCAGACATGGTGAGAATGAGAGGAAGTGAACTTAGAGAAAAACTATCTACGAATGATTTACATTTTATATATAACGTTCAAATATAACTGATGAATCATTTCTACTTTTTTAAGCTGAGAGAGAGAGAGAGAGAGAGAGAGAGAGAGAGTATTTTTCCTTAAATAGTTTAGGCACCTATGATCTTATTTTGCTCACCAATTTTGAAAACTTTACATTCTGGTTACTTTTGTTTTTGATCTATCTTATTTTTGTCAATGAACCGTTAACTTTTGTTAGTTTGACGACTTGAAAAATAAAAGTGTTTAAATTTTAGTTTTATCCTTAAATTTTAGATAGAATTTTAATCTGAATTTAAAATTTAGATAAAATATTAAATTAACTTTGAAAATTAGGTAAAATGTCAATTTAACTCATGAATTACTTTTTTTAAATAATTTATAAATTGATAAAAAAAAGCTAAAGAATATTTAAATCTGATTTTCAATTCAGCTAAGGGTAGATTTAATATTCCGCGTAAAAATACTTCTTTTTTTAAACATATATAGAGTAAAGGGTAAACTACGCATTCAGTACCTAAATTATCAGTTTTAGTCTATTTTAGTATCTAACCTTTTATTTTTTTTCAAAATCATATTTAATGTTTATTTTTTGTTTCATTTTAATATCTCACTATTAGAAAATTAACGAGTTTTGTACCTAAACTTTCAATTTTTCAAAACTTAATGTTAAATGTTGAATGGGGTACTAAAATGAAATAAAAACTAAGTTTTTAACAGCAATACTAAAATGAAATAAAAATTAAAGTTTAGGTATGATTTAAAAAAATGAAAGTTTAGGTACTAAAATATATCAAAACTGATAGTTTAGATACTAAATGCGTAATTTATCCTAGACTAAAATATCTTTTAATAATACAATAACTAAAACATAATTTTAGAGTAGTACAAGCACTAAGAGTAGACTTTAACCTAATAATAGTAATATTAATTAAAGGTGTGAACTACTATTACTAATATTGATAAAAATAATAATTATTTAGTTATACAATTTACGATAATTGTTCGAACATATCTTAATTGTGTAATTACATCTCTAGTCAATTTTATTATTGGTGGCAAAACACACACATACTAAGGTGGCGTTTGGTTGGACGGAATCTCTTGGAATTGGTGGGAATTAGAATCCAATTCCACCACTTTTCCATGTTTGGTTCAAGTTTTTTAAGGGAATTGGAATCCCTGATGGAATTCAATTCCATCAAATGAGGGAAAGTGAATTACATCTAAAAATGGATGAAATTAAATTCCCTTGTTCATCAATCATACTACCCTCATCAATCATTTGGTAACTTATTCATATATTGAATAAAAATATTTTTTTATTATTTCGGGTCGGGTCGGGTTTCTAATTCATATATTCGAGTCGGGTCGGGTGAAACTTTATTTTGGTCGGGTCGGATCTGATTTTTTTAAGTGTGATATTCGGGTCGGGTCGGGTTCGGGTTTAGGGTGAAAAAAACCGGACCGACCTGAAAATATATATAATTCAGGTCGGATCGGATTAAGTCACTGTTTTTATTAAATAAAAATAATTTTTTATTATTTCGGGCCGGGTCGGGTTGGATTTCTAATTCATATATTCGGGTCGGGTCGGATCGGATGAAACTTTATTTTGTTCGGGTTGGATTTTTTTAAGTGTGATATTCGGTTCGGGTCGGGTTCGGTTTTAGGGTGAAAAAAACCGGACCGACCCGAAAATATATATAATTCGGGTCGGGTCGGATTAAGTCACTGTTTTTATTAAATAAAAATAATTTTTAATTATTTCGGGTCGGGTCGGGTCGGATTTCTAATTCATATATTCGGGTCGGGTCGGATGAAACTTTATTTTTTTCGGGTCGGGTCGAGTAGGGTCGGGTTTTTTTAAGTGTGATATTCGGGTCAGGTCGGGTTCGGGTTTAGGATGAAAAAAATGGACCAACCCGAAAATATATAATTTTACCTTATATATTTAGGAATAATTACAATAATATATCCCTCTATATATAATTTTTTCAATTAAGTCAATGTTTTTATTGAATAAAAATATTTTTTTTATTATTTTGAGTCGTGTCGGGTCGAGTTTCTAATTTATATATTGAATAAAAATAGTTTTTGGTATATTTTTTTGTAACTAATTAACATACTTCAATTGGAATGTATCGAAATATTACTCTATCTTTTGGTAACTTATTAACATATTTTGATTGCGATGATTTTAACTTATAATGTTTATTAGTATGATTTTTATAATTTATTGAAATGAATAATCAATCAATAAAATGAAAATTTAATATTTTTTAATTTTTTATAATATATTACTACATGTAAGTTGTAAAATAAACTAAAATAAAGCAAAAAAACAAGAAGGACAATTATGTCATTTTACATTACTAAAATCAAATTCATCTGACATGTCTGCGAACCAAACAGAATATTCCTGCCAACCAAACATAATATGGAATTGGATTCCAATTCCTACAGATTCTAATTCCTTCATAGATTTCAATTCCCTCATAAACATTCCAACGAACCAAACGCCACCTAGTGAAAATAAAATTTATTCTTTTACTATTTGAATATTATATTTAATAAAAATATATGCACAAATACTTTGTAAACAATATTAAATAACATAAAATAAAAGAAGTTAAATGAAAAAAAAAAAGAAGGTAAAACGTTATTTTTCTTAAATTAATAAATTATTAATATAGTTTTACATATGTATATGATTTACGTAGTTTAATTTTTCTGTTTAAATTTTAGGGTAAAGTACACAAATGATACCCTAACTATAGGACGTTGTTTTGTTAAGTCTCCGACTATTAAAAGTTATGAAATAAACTATTGGCATAGGTTACCCTATTTAAAATGTAAATACTATAAACACCTTCGATTTGAAATTGAATCCAACACTTACAATCTCTATATGAGGATGGAAGTATGAATTTACGTTAGATGTACGAACTTTTACGGAATTATATTAGAAATTTAGAGGGTGCAAAATTTAAAAATTTGGGAGGGTACAAAATTAAATCATCGATGAAAAGAAATACGAAGATATCTAGGTGCAATATCCCCACCCCTCGATCCATCCCTGTCTCTCTTGTCCCAAGCTGGGGACTACGTAATAACAAATAATGACAATGCTTAGCCACAAGCTTCTAATTACACTAATGGTTTCAATAAGCAACAAAATTAAAATATAGTATCAGAACTGCATAGTTCCGTATGTAATTTTCAAACAACTAATGGTAGAACCTACCTGTTTCAATCCCGAATGAGTCTCTCACATGGTAGCTTCTACTTCGGGGTCGGCCTCCGCCAGAACAGTAGGTGTGTTATTCCCGCCTCGCAATCGGGAGGACACATTGTCGATGGCCGTGTTGAGCTGGCTGATTTTTTCATTCAGGGTCTCCCTGGTTTTCTGCTTTCGATAAAGTAAGAAAGGTTGAGAATTAATATAAAGAGTGCAGGGCAACACTGAAGAACATAATAGCGAATAAAAGTAGAGCCTAATTACCTCTAAACCTTCTTCATAGTATATCGGTCGCTTCGCCTTACGGAATCCGTATTCATCTTCGTTTAGCAGGGATCTTCTAATCTGAATCGAAACAACAAACGAGAGGAGGTTTTAACCTGATGACAATGATTTCAAATAAAGAAAGCAAAAAAGGCGACCATTCACGGAACAGAAAGAACAGCAGATATCATTCCATATATGTGGCTTCGACTCTTCATTTTTATTTTTAAGCAACCATATTTGGCTTGTATCCGAACATAGATATAGGATATGAACTTGCAAAAGTTCTTAAAATACAAGGGACGACTTTCTACAAACTGAATATATTAATTCCAACGTTACCTGTATATAACATCACATCCAACATAGTAGTAGTAATGCAATTAAAGCTCTATGATAAGACAAGAAAGCATGAAACAGTACTATAATATGATTCAGTTAAAATACAGATGAACTAAGTTGATTTTTCTTAGATGATAGGTAACGCTTTCAACAAGAACACAAATGCACTACTACGAGGGAACTTTCATTCGATTTCAGGTCATTAATTAGATATATTTTCAGGAAATTTAGAGACTGAAAGCAGCTATTAATCACCTGTGGTGCGAAAATATATCCCAAAGTACCAAATATGGCACCTCCTAAAAGAAAACCGGCAACGAAATCAATTCCTCCGCCCCTGCTGTCACTGCTGCACGTATCAGGGTTAACAACAAATGATGAGAAGAAATTAGAAGCATTAGTAATGGATGGGACAAAAACAACATATGCAATTTGCAAAATCCTACTCGAATAAATCTAAACATAGCACAACATCCAAAGCAATAAATAATCAGCTTTTCCTTTTTCCCTTCTTGTTACGAGTAAAGAATCAGCTTAAGAACATTCAGGAGAAAGAAAGAAAGACACATGGAAAGTGAAAAACAAAGAGTAATTCAGATGGCTCTATGTTTTAAATCCTTTTAGTGTTGAGCATGGAGAGAATAGGGTAAGGTTGTTCAGCATCAAAGAGAATTTATTACAGAGAAATCATCCTATCAACAGCTTTAAGCATTACTAAGTATTAGTAGTAACAAGGGTCTGAGATATTGTTTGCTGGAAATGTTTCTATTTACATCACTATTCAAAATGAAAATCAACAATGAAACCAAAGAAACTCCACTGACAGGATTTACTGAACCTGAGACTCTTGGATATTGATATTGTGACTTATGTTTTGATGTTTTTGACAATCAGATTTCAGATTTTTTCCCTATATTTATCTCAAAATTGTGAAAATTCCAGGGCATCTATTTCACAGATTTCTGGTTTAGCAAATCTGTATCAAGGAGGCTTAGTAAAACAAGGGGTTTGGCATGTATGTCATCCTAAAACACAGCATGTGCTCAATCTAGTTCTAACACAAAACCATTAGAGATACGTGGCTCGAGTACCAATAATTCAGAATCATAGGTTTGGCTTACCCCTTTCATGCATACTCTTATTAGAAACATGAATTCGCATCTAAGCTTATTTCAAGTGGACTGAAATACAGAAAGACATACCGATACTGTGCAGAAACTGAAAACTGACGTTTCAACGGAATTGTTTTCCTTTGAACTGCCAGATTTGGTCTTTTCCCAAAGGTGCTGGACTTAGGGAACCAAACTTCACCTGCCTTGAGATGAGAACCACCTATATAAACCAAGAAAGGAATAATAGTGAGCATGAAGCAAGAACTCATCAAAAAATCATTATTTCATATGTTAATAGCAACCCATCACATGCCCCAAGATCAGTCGGTACGATAAAGAAACCAATGAATTCATTTTTGGATGTTAGGTATATGGTTTATTTTTCTCATAATTTATGGCATTTGAATCCTAGAATCTTCTTTTTGTCAATTTTGAACCCAAAACTATAAGAATTTGATATAAAGGAAAACCATCAGAACTCCAATCGAAAAGTAAAAATAAAAAAGAAACAGATTTCTATTCTTAAAATTTGCATTTCCAATCAAATCAAAATAACAAAGAATGTGACAGAAGTACATTGCTATCCTTACCGACAAGAAATGCAATACGAGCATGTTGTTTCAAGCTTTAATCACTTGAACAAACTAAAATAAACATGCTAAATCACGAAACAAATTTGAAGCACATCTGCATATGGTTTTTTTTATCCTTTATGTTCTTTCAAACCTTAATAACATAATGCTCTAAAAAAACTAAAATAAACATACCGAATCAAATATCAAACTTAAACCATATATATTTCTAGTCTTTCCTTTCCTTAAGTATTTACTATTTTTTTGTTGAACCTTCGGCATAGAAATTAGCAACCTCGAACTTCATCCGACGAACTCAACTTAATTAGTTACTCGCAAAAGGCTATAGTGCCCGAACTAGTCATTTTTCTAAAGCATCAGTGTCCAACACATGCAAACACGAGAAAACATGAGTATGCAGATTTGATTCTCCAAATACAGATAAAGAACCAGTATCGCTAACTAAACTACTTCTCCAGGCAGAAAATCAGCTAAAAATATACAGGATGATAAGGCGTATTAAATATCCAAATAAAATGATTAAAAAAAGAGAAACGGAAGCAATCAATATATCAAATGATTAAGTTTACATGATAACTACACTCAGAAATGGAAATTAAAATATAATTGATAAAATTGAAAAACCTGAGATGGAAACGGGAGCCAAACAGTAAGCCATGAGCGCTGTAGTTGAGAGAAAGCGAAGGGAAGTTGGCAAGATTTTTCTTTTTTCTCTTTTTTTTTGGGGGGATTATAAAACCTCTTTAGTTTCTTATTTACGAACATGCCCTTCCTCTAAAGAAAGATTTTATGAGGATTTTTCCTGAATAGATTACGTGGAAATATTTTAGCCACGTCAGAATTTTTAATTATTTTTTCACTTTTTAATGACCATCCAGTTCAATTGGTAGAGCACAAGGTTCTTAACCTTGAGGTCGTGGGATCGAGTCTCACGAAGGGCATTTCATAATTCGGAAGTCTCTTACGGAAACTGCTCTCATCCTGGTGTTGAAGGTAACCTACTATCTTACCTCCCCTTACCCCATATATATATATATAGAAAAAAGTGACAGCTATTTTTTACTGACACTTAGATTAAGTCTTGCCTAGTCTTTTTAAATTATTTTAATCTAAATTCTTTTATGCTTTTTTTTTCTCAAGTTTTTTTTTTTATTTTGAACAAAAATCTCTATATTTGTGGCATATATTTTCTCTGTTATTATAACATATTTTTTTTATTCTTGTGACACAATTTTTAAGACTTTTAGTAAGTTTAGAGTCAGTTTGACACTTGCATAAAGACTTTTATGATATTAGTTTTTCAATTGATTTGTCGATGATAAAATATAATTAAATCTCCTCTTTAATAAAAAAATAATTTACCGATATAATCAAAATTGTATAACAAAACAATCTGTCAGATATTTTAATTTTCTCACTATTCTTTTATCATTTTATAAAACGTCTCAAATTAGATGAGTGATTAAATCATTTATAAAGTTATGTTCGATTTTGAACATCAAAATACTACACGGTACACACCCTATTTTCCTTTTAAAAGCAAAGGGGGAGAAAGGGTAGGCAGGCAGCTTCAACACCAATGAGGAAACTCAGTAAGCAAAGAGGTACAGAAAACATCTGAGGGGGAAAAACAACTGATCAAAGCATTGGTTTGCAAATTTTTTGTCGATATTCCGAAGTAAGCCGGCTTTCGATATCTTTATATACAAACAGCCGTCTGTCTATGCAGTCGAGAAAAGGAAACCAAAAAACAACAGTATGAGAAGTTGATTGCTAAGTTCTGTATGGGTTATGAACAGATGGGAATTTGAATTCTCCTACAAACCCCAATGCAAGACCATAGTCTACATTTTCACCACATTCATGCAGCACACAAAATCCTAAGAACCTCACCATAAGCCTATTTTTCCGGGAAGCCCCGAAATAGTAGCAGCGAAGTATTCACAGGATGCCTTTCGGGCAACTGCTGCTCTGGTTTAGGGACGGGTTTCGCATCCCGTTCCTTCTCCTGGAAAGGGAAAGAAAGGGAGAGGGATAGGGAGAGGGAGAGGGGGGCAGATACATCCTCCTCCTCTTGCTTGCTGGTTACCTTATTATGCAGTTTGTTCTGGTTGTCACTTTCGTCTATTGCTCCAACAAAGAAAGGCAGGATTCCCTTGTTTGGTGGACTCGTCTCGGCCCCCAAAGCAAGTTCAAGATTGGGAGAGACGTCATGAACTCGGTGTTCACCGGCAAGGCGTGAATCCATGGGCAAGAAGAAACTTTCACTGTTCCCCAGATCTTCGGGGATTAACTTTTCTTGACAGGCAAAGTCACATCTCCTCTCTTCTAATGAAGAGAGAGAACCTGGATTTTGTCTATTTGATGCTAAACTATCACTAAAAGGAACTTGATCTCTAGCACTGCTATATTGGTATATTTTGCTGAAACCCATCTTCAGCTTTTTATTATCATTCCCCCTATCTACAGGAATTCGTGTTGCCTCACTCCATGGCATTTTTTGACATGTAACGGTAGAAACTTCAGAAACTGGTTCTGTGAGATCGATGTATGGGCGTTTCCGATGATTCAATTGCCAAGACCCGCGATCTATAGTTGATGAAGTCTTCCCATCAGCACAACCATCCTTTGAATCACTAATTTTAACAGAATCCCTGTCAAGCTTCTCCTCAACAACCGCAACTTGTTTTCCAGTAGATCGATCTTTTAGAGATGGGTAATATTGCCAGCAGTCGAAATCTGTATTTAAAGAAGTCTTCAGATCAGCACACCCGTTATCCTTTGAATCCTCGACTTTGACACAATTCCCATCAACCTTCTCCTCAACAACTACCTTTGGTTTTCCAGGAGGGCGATCTTTTAGAGATGGATAACCTTCTGCCATATGCATTTCCCCCTCCTCAACTTCGAAAGAACCAGTATTGGTTTCGGTAGCTTGAAGGCAAGGTGTAAGATCGGGGTCAGATCCACAGTCAGGAAATTTGCTCTCTTCCTGTAAAATAATGGCAAAAGTGTCAAATAAATAAATAAAATTTGTTTCAGTCTATCCAAAAAGAGAATCTGTTCAGCATAATAAGATAAAAATTCCACACACATCCATAAATAAACTGAAGAAATCTTTGAAATAACGACACTTCTTTCAACCTTGAAACTGAATAGAATCAGAGAAAAACTTGAAATTTATAAGCCATTTGAAGCACCACACATTCATCGACAAGCAAAGAAATAAAGAATTAGATCCCTTCTTAAACAAGATTATATTGATTTCCTGTTGATTTGATCATGTCACTTAATAACATTCTATATCTCCTTGTAGGTTTTAAGGTTAGCAAACAATGACAAGAACTGAAAAAACAAACCAACTATAACAAAACATCGTCTTGACAGTAATTTAAGTAAAACATATTGAAAGAAGAACACATTACCAGAGTACTAGTGCATTTCATTTTTGGATTTACCTCTGTGCTGCTTGTTGCAATTCTAGACAAGAATTTGGGGTCAACTTTGCTCTCTTGGTCCTTCAATTTTGCTTTTATACCACCATATGTCTGCTCAAAAGAAGAAGCCTTATTATCACTGACACTATCTGTACAGATACATGTCTTTTCAACAGCAGTGGTCACATTGCACGAACTGTCACAAGTAGCCGATCCATTAACCACCGGCTGTGGACTATCAGTATATATTTGTCTCTCCAAAGCTACCGTACTTGCATCAGAATTGCACACACTCTTTGAGGAATTTGAACGGTTTGCCTTCCTTCCCTTGAAAACACCCCAGAGGAACAATAAGTTATTCCACCCTGCAAACCAAAAATCAGAAAGTTTTAGCATGCTTTTTTCCCATCTAAAGAAGAGAATAAAATGTATTGAACATACAAAACAGGTAATCATACAAATTCAAAAGAAACAGAAACTAATCTGAAAACAAGGGCTTTGCTTGGTAGGATGTAAAGAATATCAAAATATGGAAAACTAGAGAAGGAAAAACAGAAGGATATAAAACATTTTTTCTTTCCTTTAGTGTGCTTGGTAGTAAAGACAGAAGGAAAAATAACTTTCTTTACACCCATTGTTAGCATGGTTGAAAAACGAGAGTAAATAAAATAAAAATGCCATTAGACCCTTTGCAAGTTAAGATTAAAAAATAAAATTTGAAATCAAAGGATGATCTTGTAAATATACACACTTGACTTAGACTACTCGGATTTTCTTTTCTACTTCGAGTGGGTTTTTGTTAATAAGCTTTCCTATTTTCTTTCCTACGAAGCACACCCACTTCTACTAAACTAAGCACACCCTAAGAGACAAAGCATAATCGATCTAGAAGAGTTCACAGTTGTAAAGGGCATATAAAAAATATTTGTCCAATCCTGTCAAGTACACTTTAAGAGAATGATATAATGTTCTGTGCATAAGCTAACAGATAGGTGGGGGAGCCATCGATTTCAGATTTAAGAATCGCCTATATAGTCACATTAAATAGGTGGAATGGAAGAAAAAGGATGCATATAATCTGTCCTCACTAATTTGGGATTAAAATGCTGTTGATTCTGACTTGTGTTAATGCAGAAACAGGAAGCCATGCAGGGGGTGAAAACAGCTCAGTAAGACTTAAAAATTCTAAATAAATGATCTACACGAGACAAAATGAAGCCATACGATGTTCGTTTAAATACATTGTGTACATGGTAACATACCAATCAATGATATCAAACCAAAATCAAATAGTAAAATCCCAAACCCACATCAAAAGTGCAGAAAATGTGCTAAATAAAGAGCAATTACTCGCAACAGCAAATCTATAGTTTGCAAACAAATTGCTACTTTCTAATCAAACCTACCGTACTCTGAACATGCTCTAATACAGCATGAAGCACAGTGGTTGACAAAAGAAAAGGAAATCATTAAGTACCAACAGATGTTTCCTGTGTCGCCTTATGCAAAGGTTATAAACCCAAAAGAACCTTTTTTTCCTGTGTCCATTAATCCACTTATAATCTCTATATAGAGGGGAAATGCAAAAAATTCTGAGTTCAATATCCTTTCAAACCTACTAATGTTCCGTTTAATTTTTCTCAAAATATTTCTGAGTTCAATGCTAAAAAATCTAAGTGAAGTTTGAGAGCACATTAGGGGGTTACTAAAACCATGCAATTTCCATATCCATGCAAAACGATTAAGGACTGAGATCTTTGAGTCATAGCAATTTATATTTGGAGATGCAAATATCAAAATTAGCCCCCATGACCACGCCTGATCAGTACCAAAAAAGCCAGTATGGTGCAGTCAAACAGACATATCCTTTATCCTTTCCTTGTCGTGAATCTTGGGTAGAGCATATAATCCAACCAAATGTAAAATCACAGGGAACTACACTTGATCTGAATATCTCAATTATAACAATCCTTACTCTGGCAATGTTCAGGAAGCTGATTGGAGGGAAATATCAAAAGCTCAACACCTCCAAAATTTCCTTTGAGGGCAAGATCATTCTTGACCATGTTATCCAAAAGCATCTTGTAGTTCTTCTCATAACTGCAGAATAAGGAGCCGGAATAAATTTTAAAAAACTGAACCATGAAATTGCATCAATAATCAACCCAAACTAGAAAAACAAGGACAAAGGAGGGCGGGGAAGGTATATTCAAAATCTACCTTTCAAGGTCCTTGGCAAAGAAGTATAAAGCAATATTATCTTCTTTAGGACTACCGTTATGAAACTGTGCCGGCCAAGTGCTCAAGCGAGGCACTTCAGTCAATGAAACTTTGCGGGGAAATGTCTTGACAACATCCAGCACTTTAGGTGATGCAAGAGTTGAGATGTGGGCTTGAATACCATCAGAAAACTCAGGAGGTTTTCCATGCTTATTCACATCAAAACCACCCCTGCATAAAAGTAACAAAATCTATCACATTCAAGAAACATCTCAAGGAAAGGTATGCTGAAGCAATATATGAAAATGAACCTAAATGGAGCATCTTTTTAACCAAAAGAGAGAACAGTTAAATATAGGGACAAGAATCCTACTGCCAGATGTACTCATGTTCTGGGATGGCTGACATCATTGAGACAGCAGATATTGTGGCTAAAGGAGGGGCACGGAAATCTCTGATTGAAAGATTGCCAACAGAAGAAACTACATAGACAGCATCAGTGGAATGTGAATTAAGCAGCTTCATATTACCAGTGGAAGCCTGATTGCAAAGATGTGCTTGAGGTTCATACGTATCTTCAACAGAAATCTTTGCCTTACTGCAAACTGATGATAGATCTTGAGAAGTTCTTTCACATATTACAGGCTTCAAACGCATAGCTGCCTCAATTGCAGCTTTTAGCTTATTGCCTTTATTTGTCTCCTCTATAGAAGTTCTAGAAGCAGACTGATCAGCACCAGAAGCCAGACAGATTGAACAACATTCAGCTGCATCACCCATCTCTTTGCATTTTAGACATGGAACTCTTTTAGAGGATTGACTAACAGCACTCTCCCTTGATTTCTCGCTCTGGTTTGTTGAATCTATTGTCTGAGTAAGGCCATCCGACACAATTCCATTAACGTTACTAGGCTGTCTCTCAAACACCTGTGAAGAACTTGATGAGGTTTCCTCCTTCAGACTCACATGGTTTAACTTCTGTTCAGAAGAAATGCGTCCATTGGTGGATGAAACAGCTGCAAAATAAGAAAAATGCTCTTAAGTTGCCGGAATCAACTGAAAGAAAACAAAGAATATGAGGTAAAAGCAGAATACATAACAAAGCATTCTAATTATAGAGAGGACTTAAGAAAATAAAAAAAAATAGTAGTCCCACCATCAGAATGTCACAACATACCAGAAGAAACTGCATTTCCAACACCTTTACGAGCTAGACTGCTAGTTGATCTTGATAAAGTATTTGGTCTTCCATCAGACTGAACTGCCTTCGTTTCCCGGTGGTTGATTGCAGATGAATGAGAAGTTACATCAGCACGAGGTGTCTGTTTCTGATCAACCTTAGGTGTCACAATGGTAGGACTAGATTGATCCAATTTCGAGATCTTTTTCCTTTCTAATGACATCCGCTCTTTGACTTGCTTTAAACCTTTCAGATCTTGAACATGAGGATATTTAGATGATAGCAATTTAAAATTTGATTCCCCAGCATTTAACCGTCCAGAGTTACCAGATTTAAATGACGTTGATTTTCCCATCTGTCTAGCAGGTTCCTCCTTGCTATCAAGTGATGCATGTTCTCTAGCACTTTTACATTTCTGAAGAACAACCTCATCTACAAGCTTCCCTTTAGGTTTGGAATTTAAAGTGTTGAATGAATTCCATTTCATTAAGCTCTCTGTAACAATGAGAACAGTATGGAAATGTTAAAACAACAAATATAGGTGTGGGTATTTAGACAACAAAATCAATTCACTCACTCTTTGGTGTTCGCAGCTGTGGAGTAGAAGTCGGAGAGGATACAGCTTCTGGCACATCATTACCAGAATGGTTGCCAACAGAAATCTGCGGAGATGGCCTCACTTTCCCCTTATCTAAGTTCTTAAATGAACCCTCTCGAGACAAGGAAGATACTCTGTTGGGGCCCAATGATTTTGGTGATCCCATATTTGTTTCAACAGCCTGCCTTTTTGGAGCCAAAGCACCCTCTAGTTTTTCAACATGTCTCTTACCTAAGATACGTGTACTTGAGCCAAGTTTTTTTGCCTTTTTTCCCTCAGCATTCAAACCTTGAAATACAATTGCAAAAATATGTCAGCACAGGCAAGAGTTGCCTGGGTGTCATTTTTATTACATCTGTTTGATAACTAACCTTGTCTCGGGCTTTCAGTTTCCTCAGCCAGCTTGCATTCTTCACAGAGCCAATCACCTTCCGGAACTTTCCGAAGCATTTCTCGCATACAGTAACTGATTAATAGCATCAATATCATAAAACTCAACATTGAATATAGATACAGACAATTAAATAGAAATGCAATAAAAACTGATGACAACCATATGACTTAAGGGATTTGTACACATACGTGTGCTCTGCACCATCGGTGCACTTGCTACATATTGCAAGCAAATCTTCTCGTCCTGCATCCCCACAGATATCACATACCTTAACCTATTCAAGAAAAATCGGGAAACAAGAAAAGATAAATCAGAAAAACTTATTGACATAATAAATTTAAGAGAGAGAGAGAGAGAGAGACAGACAGACAGACAGAGAGAGAGAACAAATGTGCCGATCCCACAAGGTAAAAAAGAAAAGGAACTCTTCTATTTTAAGTATATAATTATGATGGAGCCCAATTAATAATCTTAAACCACTTAACAAGTTTAGGGACTTCCTAATCATTTTCAAAGCACTTGTTACCATTAAAACATTCATTTAATGACACCTAAAAGAGTGAGGAATCTGCCTTGCGCCAGAACCTTACAATAAGTTCAAGAATATCATAATCACCACTTACATTCTCCTAGGATGGCACCAGCACTACAAGTGCAAATGTAAAACCAATTAAAATATGGTATTTTCAATACCTTTACCCTCAAATCAACTAAATTAATCTAAACAGCCAACTTACACAGTGTTGGTCCTAGGAAAATATAGTCTCGATCATGCGTGCACACTTCATACAGTCTCATAAAAAAAAACATAAAGTTACTTACATCATGTTCAGAGACATCAGACTCATAACCCTCATCCAGAGAAGCTGCTTTCAAAGGAGACTCCCGCTTGTCAGATAACATCACAGACTCGTCTAACTCATTTTCCTTCAAACTTCTCCCAGTTTTATCCAGTGGGTCCTCACTATTGTCATCAATATCTGCTTCTAACTTGGGATGGATTTTGGGAGAAATCTCAGGTCTGCCGCCTCCAACAGAACTCTTGATGCTTCCAGAATGTGAATATGGAATTTGGATCCTAGGTGAACTACTTCCAGAATCAACCTCCTTCATAGAAGGTAGTTCTGACAAGTCTAGCTTCTGGGAAGAGGGCACCTTTCCACATCCTAAACAACAAACTGTTGCTGAACTATGATATGAATTCTTACAGTCTAAATCCTTGCTACAATAACTGAAAGCTATATTAGCATCACTGGCTCTACCAGCACATAATATACTATCAACATGGCTTTCAACAACTTTGGAAGATGGTCGTGCAGCTGCTTTACTTTCTAAATTTTCAGAGTAGGAATCGTGACTTGAATTGACATTGAGTAAGTCACTTGCCTCGCTGGGGCTATGGTATAAGCTGTCACCTGTTTTATCCTCATTGATAGAATACTGATTTGCAACAGCAACATGATCAGTTTCATCAGAAAACTCAACACTCTTTGATCCCATCTGAGCTATGCTTAAGTGCATACAAGATGAACAAGGAGCAGAGCACACGTTGCAGATTCCAGATTCTGCTTTTGCACGAACCTTTTGACTCATGTACTGCCTAATTAATCTTTTTATAGTTTTTGGTACCTAAGATAAAAAGTAAAACAAATAATGAATCCAGCAAATGGAAAATATTAAGTGCATTTGTTATCTTAGTGATCAAATTTGAATCCAGCAAAACAAAAAGGATTTGGAGATGACATAAAAACGAAGTAGTAGGTACATCATTTTCTTGCATTCCATTTCTATGTCATTCCAAGAAAGCATATGAATGGGAAAATACCCTAATTTTCTTTCATTCTTCCCTCCAATCTCTTCATCCTCGTAGTTCTCAAAACACTCCATGAAGAAAATTTTAAAGGTAACCATAACAACATAAAGTTCAAAGTAATATATGTTCTTCCTTCTTTCAACTTAAAACATTAAACTAACAAAATTTATTAACAAGAAATAAACAGTGAGTTCAAGAACATAGATTGAAGATTACCCTGTTCTCACTATATTCTTCTGGATACTTTGATCTATATCATCCAAAGGCCCTTGCATGCAGTAAAACTCTCTTAAACAGGTGTGATCTAAAAAATCACATCAAACTGAATCAAATAAAGCATCATTAAACAGAATGCGGAGAATATAATCCCTTCCACTAAAAGTGATATAATTCTATAACATCTAAAACCACATAAACAAAAAGTAGCATCTGAACTCCATAGAAGCCTAACAGTACAACAAGCAAGTTAAGAAATATACCCAATTTCTAAATAGAACCCAAAACCCTAATTCCCAACATAGGCTATTCAACATCACAATGGACTGATACAGCATATTTCAGATTAAATATTAACCATATTTTCACATATTCTACAACTAATTTAAACAATTCGAAAAGAAAAACTGAATACAATATCCAAATGTTTAAGTTGATTAAGATTAAACAAAAACCTAATTTAAAAAGAAAAGAAAACATAATTGTACATGTTACTGGTTCATAGGTTTTCTCCGTCGCATTGAAAAGCTCCTCAACAGGCCGCTCCCTCCGCCTCGCCAAAACAGCTGCTGCTCCCGCTGCCGCCATCGCCGAGCAAACGATCCAAATGCAAATTGTACATCAAACTAATTTCTCTCCTTATCTCTCTCGATTCTCCCTACCTCCCTATTTTACCGCAAAGGAAGGTTCCCGATTCCTATTTCAATCACAATTCCCCCAATTTCCACTTCAGGTATCCTCTCCGTCAATCTGAACCCCAAAAAATCACAAAATAAACATGAAAATACAAATCAAAACACCGCAACAAATCAAAAATTTTCAAATTTTTATAAAAAAAATCGCGTTTTTCTTTATTTTTTTCTCTTCATATATCGATGGTATGAGAAAATTCTTGGAAATGGTAAATACAGAATCAAAACCTCTGATCATAAATTACAATTAAAAAAAACCTTAGAATCTTTAAAATAAATACATAAATTTACCTCTCTCTTCCTTCACTAGATTTTCTCAAAATGTGGGCAAAACCTCTCCACTGTTTCTGTATTTTCTCCGCTTTATAAATATCATTGTACTCTAATCAATTCATTGTTAGATATATACGTACAATTATAATCAATACGCGTCTGCATAATTCGCAATCAATTAATTAATATAAAATATAGATAATTAGATTTACAGTGTGGATATGATATTTTGAATAAAATGCACCCTAAAATCTATCAGTTTTGATCCGTTTTAATATCTACATTTTTAATTTGTTTTATTTTAGTACTCCGTTTAAAATTGAAAGTTTAGGTACTAAAATGAAATGAAAATTAAACATTATGTATGATTTAAAATAAATTAAAAATTTAGATACTAAAACGAAACAAAACCAATAGTTTGGGTACTAAAGGCATAGTTCACCCTAAAAGCTAAATTAGACTAAAATTTGAACTATCGTTTAAGCCACTCAATTTAATTTTTAACAAAAATTACATATTTTATCAGCTTTAACTATTACTAAATTTTTGTTTTTGCCATCTAATCATGAAAATTATCATTTTAATCATTAATATTGTTATTTATTCTATTTTAAATATCTATCATTAAAAAATAACACAAAATGGTGACATAGTTTTATATAATAACATATTTAATTATTAAAATTTATATATTCTATTAATTTGATCTCGATTTAAAAATTCTCAACAAATTTAACTCTTTATATTTACAAACTCTATAAATTCAATACTTAAAACATATCATTATCATCATCCCACACATATGCACAGTGACGGAGGCACGTTGATAATAGGATAGGCACGTGCTCATTATGAAATTTTCTAAAATTCGAATTTTCTTCTTTAAAATTTGAAGTTTTCTTCATTAATATATTTGTATCCACCCTGAAATTCTATGGTACCTACCTTGAAACTTTATCGTATCAAAAAATTTATATTATTAATATATGTTTGTCTACCCTAAAAAATTTCTGGATCCGCCATTATTGGCAAATGCAAGTATAGTTCAGGGTGAACAAGTAGTTATCTATTTTACTGATAATATTTACAAAATTTTATTTGTATTCTCCCATGAAAAAAAATCATTAAATATATATAAATATATTGAATCTATCCTCAAAATATTTTTAAATTTCCCATTGATCTCACATCAACCTAAGGATGGGTACAAATCCAAAATCGACGGATTTCGACTCGATCCGATTCTATTAGATCCAGTTTCTTTAAAAAATAAAGTTTGTCGGGTTCGAGTTTAGGGTGGAAAAAATATATCCAATCCGACCCAAAAAAAATAACATAATTATACATTACATATTTAAGGATAATTGTAATACACATCTTTATATTTTTTTTTCCAATTATGCCCCTATTGTTTTGAATAAAATTAATAATCTTATATTATTTCGGGTTAGATTGGAGCCGGATTTAATCTCAAAAGTCAGATTGAATTTCAGATCGAGTAAAATTACCCTAATCCCGATTAAAGGTCAAATTTAAATAAAAATATATATAAATTTTTCATATCGAATTAGATGAACCGAAAATCCGAACTATGTCTATCCCTACATCAACCACCACAAATTTACAAGTCAAAAAAGAAAGTTGAAATGGAGGACAAGCTGAAGAAAATCAGGCCCCACTCTTTGCAGGTGATGAATAACCAAGCTGGGTTCATTCAAAGTATTACGAAAGCATTTTACACCGCAAAATCAATAATGATCTTTTTAATCTTAAAGAAAGCGAAAGAAAACCTACAATTGATTTGTTTATTTATCACCAAATCTTCTTTATTTTTAGGGTAAATTACGTATTTAGTATATAAACTATCAATTTTAATTTATTTTAATATTTAAATTATCAATTTTGATTTATTTTAGTACCTAAATTTTTTTTTTTAAAACCATTCATAATGTTTAGTTTCTGTTTCACTTTAGTACCCCATCGTTAAAAACTTAATGCGTTTAGAGCCTAAACTATCAGTTTTGATTTGTTTTAGTACCTAAACCTTCAAAAAAATCAAAAATTAATGTTAAAATTGAACAGGGGAACTAAAATGAAAAAAAAAAACTAAACTTCAGGTATGATTTTAAAAAAGTTAAAAGTTTAAATATTAAATGGATCAAAATTAATAGTTTAAGTACTAAATGTATAGTTTACCCTTATTTTTATTACGTATCAATAACGTTTTTTTTAATTATTTTAAATTCCAAAATCAACAGAAATAACCCTTTTTTCTTCGCGGCCACATCAGTCATAATTATCACATATGTTCTTTCTAAAAGTTAATAATTAAATATTAAGGGTCCAAATCAAAGCTGTTTTACGTAATCCACACTTACTGTTATTATTTATTTGATTAGCTTTTATGAAATTTATCGCTGATGCTCGAACACGAAATCTCTAGAGATAACAGTTATCCTTTTTAATTATTAAAGTAATTTGATTCGTGCGAACTCAATTTAAATGTGTTTGAACGTATTATATCTTTAGTCCCTTTTGTTTTTAGTTTGACCGACTTTGATCACCTGTTTTTTTAATTAAATATGTTTAATCCCTTATGTTATCGATGTATTCGGTTTAAGTCGCTCGACCATTAACTTCTATTAACTCATTAACAGAATTTTGAGTTGGCAATTAAAAAAAAAAAAATCTAAAAAAATTGTATTCTTCTTCTTCTATCCTCCTCCTTCTAAAACTATTTGAGTCTAACAAGCGTCGTTTTACTCGTCAAAATAAAATAAACTTCTTAAAAAATAAAATAAATAAGTGAAAAGTAAAATAGTAGAAGAGGGTCGATCCATATGAAAATATTGGAATCTCTAATGTAATTTATGTTGATTTCATCCAGGAAGCGGTAACAAAACAAAATACAGAAAAGGGGTGTTCGAAGCTATAAGGAAAAACAAGAGATGTTCAAGCCTTTACCCATGAAAGGTATTTATAGGCTTCTTAAATCTAAAAATAACAAGATAATAAAAAGAAGATAAATCAAAATAATTCAAATGTTTTTAAGTTTTAAAATTGAAAACTAAAATCCTAGAAAATCTCCTCGGATAATGTTGATTGGGCGGCTTTCAAAATCTTCGTGCTGACTGGACCTTCTAGAAGCTGTCACATCAGACCCGCATCGTATCCATGCCTCCATCCTCGACCAAAAAACAACAAAAAGTTACAGAACGCACCCTATTGCTTCTCATTCCAGTAAACATGTTTATGTGGGATTTTGGGAATGGGTTGAATTATCCACATGGGGAAATATTTCCCCTTCCAAAATAACGTATTTTTTCAAATTAGAAAAATGAACAGTCTACACAACATACTCTATGGCTCACTTAAGTAAAAATTGTTATCATCTTCCACTTGGGTTTTGTCATACACAAAGAAACCATAGCAAATGGGCGGCCATGGCAATGGCGAGGAGGTGGAGCTGTTGGCCATATGGTTTAGCCCATATGTTCAACGAGTGGTGTGGGCGTTGAAGATGAAAGGAATCGACTACGAATGGGTGGAGCTAATCTTTAGATACCCTAAAAACAGGAACCCTTCGCTTTTGAAACACAACCCCGTGACGAAGAGAGTCCCGGTGCTCGTCCACCGGAGAAGGCCCGTCGTGGAGTGGCTCGTGATCGTCGAGTACGTCGACGAGACTTGGCGGAACAACCCTGTTTTACCTTCGGATCCCTATTAGAGAGCCATGCTCGATTCTGGGCAAATTTAATAGACCAAAAGGTAAACAATCGTTAAAATTTCCAAACTATTATAAAATAGGGTAACATAGATAAATGGTTCTTATAGGGTACTGTTTTATTAAATCACTCAATTATTAAAAATTATAAAATTGTTCTCTAATTATAGAGTGTTGTTTTGTTGAGTCTTTCGACTATTAAAAGTTACAAAATGATCACCCCTACTGTTTATTATGTTAAAAACTCATCTTTTTTCTTTAAAAATTTGACGGTATTATGAGTTGAACGTTAACCTATTGAGTATGATATGATCCCAAAATCTCAAGTGACTATCATATCCCAATCTTCATATTAACGTTCAACTTAAATAACCGCCAATTTTTTAACAAAAAAGGATGAGTTTGTAACATAATGAATAGTCGAGTGACCATTTTACAATTTTTAATAGTTGAGGGACTTAATAAAACAATATTCTATAGTCGAAGGACCCTTTTGTATAGTCGAGGGACTTAATAAAATAGTATCCTATAGTCAGAGGACAATTTATGTACTTTACCCTTAAAATATTCATTAAAATTATCAAACTATTATAAAATGATCATTCAATTTTTTTTTTTGAATATAAACTGCTAGTATTATTAAAAAAGTGAAAATATTTGAAATTACAATAAGAGTTTATAACTATCTTCGTAAACTAAATGCATAATTTGGTCTTTTCCTATAACATTGAAACTAGCCGCTTTAGATCATATAAATCTGATTGTATCGGCAAACGAACCACAAAAGGAAATTAAGCTACTGAAAGACCATTGAGAACTGCAGATCAGAGCCGAGTGCCATGAGAAACTATCCACAAACGTAAAATCACGCATCCAAATTCAATCCAAAGGTTCATAGCAGGGAAGATCAATAAGATTTCAAATAAGCATCATCTTGATTAGTCGTGGAGTCTTCAAATCCAACCTTGAGAAAACATAAATAAAAGAACGGACAAACAACCGAGAAAAAATTGAAACGTGCCACAAAGACAGAGATAAACGTGTCACGAAGGTAGAGATAAACGTGCAACACAGACAGAGATAAACATGCAGCACATACAAACTTATCTTATTAAAAAAAATAAAAGAAAACAAAAAGAGAAAGAGAACCGACGATCAACAATTAGCATCAAAATTAGTGCCACCTGCCGACTAAAGGAAATCAAATAAAAAAGTTGATATAATCTATGAAAAAAGATATAAATTAAAAAAGAATAAAAAGAAGACAAAGGAGATAATGGCTAAGGAAATAGTGAAGATGATCCTTCAATTTATTAAAATATATTACTGTTTACAATTTTATAAGAATTATATTTAACAGTTGAAAGTTTAATGAATATTTTATTATATTTAAAAGTTCAATAATTAAAATCACCCTTATACAAAACCTTTCATAAAGTGTCGGCAGAGCTTACCATAATGTCCTACATCACTTATTTACGTGCAATTGATTTGTTTATTTATCACCAAATCTTTTTTATTTTTATTATGCATCAATAATGAATTTCTTAAAGTATTTTAAATACACATCAGTCATGGTTATCTCATATGTTCTTCTTAAAGGTTAATAATTAAATATTAAGGGACCAAATCAAATATGTTTTACTTAATCCACACTATTGTTATTATTTAGGATAAATTTTATTTTTTTTAAAGTTTAGGTACTAAAACGGACTTAAACTGATAGTTTATGTACTAAAAACATTAAGTTTTTAACAGTTGTATACTAAAATGAAACAAAAATTAAATTTTAGATATGATTTTAAAAAAAATTAAAAGTTTAGATACTAAAATAAACTAAAACTGATAGAGATTATTGATATATTATAGATAATATATATTTAAGCATGTGGAACTTAAATCTTCGTGTGTTTTGTAATAGCAATGATCGCAACCAAATTAAAATCCAGTTATTATATTAGAATAAATTGTAAACGTTTAGCATATGTTGATAATTCTTTTATCCAATTGATTTTTAGACAATTGATAATCAACGTATCCACATCGTCCAGACGCAATTTTTTAAACCTGAGATCTTTAAGGAAAATGACGAGTATGCTGAAATAATTATAATGTAATATCTGTTCAAAAAATTTTAATATACTGGCAACGTATACACACTCGACCAACGTAAATGTACGAGTCTAAAACTTCTAGGAGAACAACATTCCATTTTATTACTGAAACCATTTGATGGGCTCAATTTAAGTTTGTTTGAACATATTATATCTTAGGGTAAAGTACGTAAATGGTCTATTGACTATAGGGTACTATTTTATTAAGTCTATTGACTATTAAAGTTACAAAATGACCATTCGACTATAGAATGTTATTTTGTTAAGTCATTTGACTATTAAAAGTTACAAAATGGTCACTCGACTATTTATTATGTTCTGAATTTGCCCTTTTCCGTTAAAAAATGACTATAATCTAAGTTGGACGTTAACATGATGACTAGGATATGATAGTCATTTGAGATTCTGATATCAGCTTTTATCATATCACGGTTAGCAAGTTAACGTTCAACTTATAATACTGTCAATTTTTTAATGGAAAATGACTAGTTGGAATATAATGAATAGTCGGGTGATCATTTTGTAGTTTTTAATAGTCAGTGGACTCAACAAAACAACACTCTATAATCGAAAGATCATTTTATAATTTTTAATAGTTGAGGGATTTAATAAAACAATACCCTATAATCAAAATCCTGTATCTTAATAACAAAGGGAAGACCGATAATAAACTATTTAATACATAATGCTTCAACAAGTTGTCCCCCATTTGACATCTTTTTTCACATTAGAAAAAGGAACACTATACACAACATACTTTATGGCTCACTTAAGTATAAACTATTATCATCTTCACCTTCGGTTTTATCATACACAAAAAAACCATAGCAAATGAGCGGCCATGGCAGTGGCGACGAGGTGGAGCTGTTGGGCATATGGTTTAGCCCATATGTTCGACGAGTGGTGTGGGCGTTGAAGATGAAAGGAATCAACTACGAATGGGTGGAGCTAAGCTTTAGAGACCCCAAGAACAGGAACCGATCTCTTTTGAAACACAACCCCGTGACGAAGAGAGTCCCGGTGCTCGTCCACCGGGGAAGGCCCGTCGTGGAGTCACTCGTGATCATCGAGTACATCGACGAGACTTGGCGGAACAACCCCGTTTTGCCTTCGAATCCCTATGAGAGAGCCATGGCTCGATTCTGGGCAAATTTTGTTGACCAAAAGGTAAATAATCGTTAAAATTTCTAAACTTTTATACAATATTTATTAAAATTATCAAACTATTATAAAATAATCCTTAAAACTTATTAAAATATATTGTTGTTTATAATTTTGTAGGGAATATTTTGTAACAATTCAAAGTTTAATGATTATTTTATAATATTTAAGAGTCCAATAATTAAAAGATCATTTTAAAATATCGTATACTTCACCTTTTTTTCTTCCTTTTTTTCCTCTCTAATTTCTAAATATATTTGAATTCGAAACTTAATTAATTCCATTTATATAGTTATATTTGCAAATTGTAATTTAATGAGATTGAGTTTAAACTCATTATCTATAATATTTTGGGTAAATATCGCATTTAGTACTTAAACTATCAGTTTTGATGTGTTTTATTACCTAAACCTTTTCAAAATCATACCTAACGTCTATTTTTTATTTCATTTTAGTACACATGTTAAAAACTTAACGTTAAGTTTAGAAAAAAAAGGGAAAGTTTTTAGCTACTAGAACGAACTAAAATTGATAGTTTAGTTGCTAAATTCGTTAAATTTTTAACGGATGGTACTAAAATGAAACCACTAAAATAATTTGGTTATCTCTATGAAAAAACTGTTACTACTACAAAACAGGAATGGATTTATTTGATAGGTAAGGTAGTTAAATTTAGATTAAGTTTCAATTCGTTATATAATTTATATTTAATTAAATACTTGAATTTAAAGTTTGGGTTCGATTTGATACTTTTATATATATATATATATTTGTTATTATTACTTGAATTTGGTTTAAATTGGTTTATTTCATATTTACATTGGTCTGAATTGTATGAACTTAAAAGAATTCAAGTAATTTCAAAATTTTAAATTTTAATAATAAATTGGGTTAATAAAACCATAAGTACCAAATTAAACTAATAAAAGAAATTTTAATGTCTAATTAGACCAAAAAAAAGTTTCAGGTACCAAATTGAATATTGAAGTCAAATTCAAGTGCCAAAATATATAGTTACCCAAAATGTTTAGATTCAAGTTCATATGCTACCTTTTAGTGATGATACTATGCTATAAATCCAATGAATTAAACTGCATTATATGCATTATAGATAACTGAAGTTCTGATCAAACTCTTGAGCTTAACGGACAAGACACAAATGGAAGAGGAAGCGAAGCAGGCAAGCAACGCACTGGCGATCCTGGAAAGGGAATTGAAGGCCAAGGGCGAAAGGTTCTTCGGGGGAGAGACGATCGGGTTAGTCGACATTGCGTCGAGCATAATAACCACTTGGATGGAAGCCATCGAGGAAGTCCTCGACGTCCACATACTCGACCCCCGAATCCATCCTTTCCTTACTCGATGGAGGATCGACTTTGTGGAGTTCGTCGAGCATAACTTGCCTCCAAAAGATAGATTGCTTCGGTTCTATCGCCGATATCACCAGTCCAAGATAGCCGGGGTTGTGTCATCGAGATTGTAAGGGATCGTTTTCTCAGTAATCTAGGCCGCAAGGAGAATAACTTTCCCTAAATGTCATCAACAATGTTATGATCTAGGGATGTGAAGGATTGGCAGTATCGATCGTTCTTTTTGAAAATTTTAAATTTTCATATAATTTATATTATTTCTTTATATTATTAGTTAAATAAGATTTTTGTCCCTTTCGATTTTTAGATTTAAATACATAATAAATCTTTACTCTTTCGTTATAAAATAATTCTGCCCTCCTCGACATTTGATCTTAACTCCGTCTGTGTACATATAAACAATTAAAGAAGTAAGCATGTTCAATCAAATAACCTTAACAACTCCCTCATATAAGAGACTTTTTTACTTCTCACCGGAGGTCCTAACGTTGCCGTAATTTATCATCATCATCGAGATGTTTTTATGCCACAATCCGTTCGTCGAACTTACTCTACACCGTCTACGCCACCGTTGATCGTTCAATTACTAATATTAGATTTCTCCTTTTTCTTCCGTTGTGTCAATGAGACCTGATTTTCTCTGCACTGCTTCCTAACTATTTAGTCGACTTTGTTTTTAATTAGGGATGACAAAAAAACTCGAACCCGACGGGGAAAACCGAAAACCGAAAACCGAATTAAACGGGACGGGGAAAAACAGTTTATGCTAAACGGGGACGGAGAAAAACCGTTTATGCTAAACGGGGACGGGGACGAGTTTAGTAATCCCCGCCCCGATTACCCGGCCCAATACCCGGCCCGATAAATATTAAAAATAATAATTATATATATATATATAATATTAATAAATTCAATTTAAATTAATATATATATATATATAATATTTATATATTTAATTTAAATATATATATACCTGACCCGATACCCGTTTAAATAACCGTTTATGCTGGGATACCCGTTTCTCGCGATTTTCCCCGATTACCCGATGGGGATCCCCGTTTAAATCCCCGCGGTTTTTTAAGCGGAGACGGGTACGAGTTTTTTAAACGGGTACGGGGACGGGGGGACCAATACCCGGCCCGTTGCCATCCCTATTTTTAATATCTTTTAGAATGTTGTTTCATCCACCACATTTAAAAATATAGGGTAAATTATGCGCTTAGTACTTAAACTATCATTTTTGGTCTGTTTTAATATTAAACTTTTAACTTTTTTTTCAAAATCATACCTAATGTTTAGTTTTTGTTTCATTTTGGTAACATGCTAAAAACTAAACGTTAAGTTTTGAAATTTTTGAAAGTTTAGCCACTAAAACGAACCAAAGAAGATAGTTTAGGTACTAAGCTCGTTAAGTTTTTAACGGCGGGTATTAAAATGAAACAAAAACTAAACATTAGGCATGTCTTTCAAAAAATTAAAAATTTAGGTACTAAAACAGAACCATAGATAATTTATGTACTAACCATGTAGTATACCCAAAATATATTAGTATATCAAATAATAACAAATGATCATCATACAAGCTGGTTATAATTTTATGTACCTTTTCCAAACCTCATCAAAACTAGGAATTGACACAAAATTTCATGGAGAGTGAATTTTTAAAATTTTAAGAAGATACAAGTTTATAAAATTTCAGAGGATAAAAACATATTTTCAATAGAAAATACATAAAAAATTAAAACATAGACATAATGTCAAAATAACCCAAATGTTTACCAAAATGATCATTTTGACCATTATTCTTTTGTTAGAACATTTTAACCCCTAATATTTCACTCTGGGGGCAAAAAGCTCCTCTATATATGAAAATCGTTAGTTAACACACGATTAACGCTCCAAAAATAGGAGCCTTTTTAACCTAACATAAGACGTCGAGGGCTAAAATGCCCATAGATGACAAAATTATAAGTATTAAACACCCTTCTCAAGACTTGGATGATAAAATCCCTCTTTTTCTTGCAAAAATAAAACCCAAGCTTTAAATCCTTAAAACCATGCTGCTTGAGGAATTAAGAACAAATTGGAAATATGAAAAAGGCTAAAAAACATTACCTTGGCTATGGAGCTTGGAAGGGGAAGGAGAGGGAAAAAAGAAAGAGAGAAAAATGAAGAGGATAAGAAGATGAAGAGATAATAAAGTCTCCATCTTTTAAAATGAGCTAATTACGCTGCTGGTCCCTTTTCATCTTTTTACTATTCAAAAACCCTCTCTTTATGGTTAATTGGGCCCAAGACCAACTCAATTAAGCCCAACAACTTGAATTATAAATTCTGCAGGATTCACTTGCCTCTCGAGTAAACCTGCAACTGCTAGGCCAAAATTTAAGGTGTTATAACTCTCATCACTAGAACATGGAAAAAGTGATACTACTAGAGTAGTAGTTTGTTTGTTTGTTGTTTGTTGATAATTAATAAAAGAGTTAATTGCATCATATATCCCCAAACTATAATCCTCATTTTAAATTAGTCCTTAAACTTTAAAATATTCCAATTTCATCCCCAAACTATAGCTCCCATTCTAAATTACTCCTTAAACTTTTAAACATTCCAATTTAATCCTTAAACTATCGATAATTCTAAATTGACCCCTAAACTTTTGAATCTTCTAATTTCATCCCCAAATTCATCCAAATATGTAATTAGTTTCAACCATAGTTTAACCTATATTTTATTTTTTTAACATACAATAATATAACTTGGCCTAATGGTTTTATTAACAAGGGATGTGATTATTATATACATATAATGTGGGATGAAATTGAAATGTTTAAAAAGTTTAGGGACTAATTTAGAATGACTATCATAGTTTGGGGATGAAAATGAAATGTTCAAAAGTTTGAAGATCAATTTATAAATATAGTCATACTTTACGGATGGAATTAGAATGTGTAAAAGTTTAGGGACTATTTAGAATTAGGGTCATAATTGAAGGACAAGTGATGCAATTAACTCTTGATAAAGTAAAATTTTATTATATAATAATATTGAATATAATTAACATTTATATGATCAGAAACAAAATTAGGATAAGATAATGGGATTAAATTGTATAAGAGACTAAAATTCATTTTATCAAAAAAAAAATAGAGGTGGTTGAAGGTACTTAAAAAAACAGGTGCTCCGGAAAAAGGAACAACTAAGACATCTATATCTCCATGAGGAATTCAAAATTATAAGAAAGTTAAAGATGAGTACTTTGAGAAACCTCCGAACACTTGTGAACTTCAACACCATGAATTGTTACCTAAAGGATTTAATCAACACTAACAAATCTCAGAGATTTGGAGATTCAACGGCGTTTCAAGATCAAAGATTTTAATGCGGAGGACCTGGACTGGAATCGACCCATCATCCAGAGTAAATATCTTCATTCCTTGTCTGTTGTCAATGGTAAAGGAGGGATAGATCCAAAACATTTGAATCACCTCCTTCCAACCTTTCAACAAGGGTGCCCTCTGGAGCTAATGTGGCACTTCAATCTGGTTCGGGAACTTGTGTAACACCGAAAGCTGGTGCACAAGAATACCAGATAAAGACACGAATATTATAAAGTCTCCGTCTTGTGAATTTCATCGTGTTAAAAATTACAAACGTTACACTAATATTTGGTTCGGCATTGCCTCTTACCATAGGTAAAGAACATTTAATTTTGTATTTTTGGAAATTATTACAATCCGCTATGTTTTTATGATCAAAATCTTATTGTCCCTACCCTTTTGTTCTTTGCTTACGCTTTCTGTAAGGAGTGGTTAAAAGAAAAGAACGTGGCTTGCTTCAATTTCTTTTATATTCTTTTTCACTTTTCTTTTGCAAAATCACTTGCCCTAGGATTGGGGTAAGAAACTTGGAGCATATTTTTAACCTTTAAAGTTGTTGTCTCCCGCTTTTGTTCTTTGTTTGAACAAGCTGCAAGGAAAGAACAAACTTTATTTATAATTGTTATACCTTTCTTTAGAACTAGTAGCAGAAACAATTGGTTTAGAATCCAATTTTCCTTGCGCAGCACGTCAAAGAAATGTTATATAGTATGGGAAATCAGAGCTGCAAATGTACAGAAACTAAGTTTTTCAAAGAATTTTCTTAGCCAAAAAAAAAGTTGAGTGCAATGGCTTGGTCTGCTGTGTCCTCTGCAGTGAACACAATAGGCAATTTACTTGCTGAAGAAGCAACCTACCTATGGGGCGTGGAGGAGCAAGTTGATCGTCTACAAACTGAGCTCAAATGGATGCAAAGCTCCTTAATGGAGGCGGATGTCAAACAGTCGACGGACAGGAGGATAAGCCTTTGGGTTGCCGAAATCAGAGAGCTTGCCTATGATGCCGAGGATGTCATCGAGGATTTCGCTCTCAGGGTCGGGTCCAGGAGGAAAGGCGGTCTTTCGAATTGTATCAAAAGATCCGCCTGCATCTTGGAAGAGGGAAGGATCCTTCACAAAACGAGATCAGAGATAGATAAGATCTTTACAAGGATCACTGACTTGGTGCGAAGATTGCAGGCATATGGCATAAAGGAATTAAGGGAGAAAGAAGGACCGAGTAGTTCAGCCCAAAGACGGGAATTGAGGCAGTCTTTTCCTCACATCATCGACGATAACATCGTCGGGTTAGACATGGATGTCAAGAAACTGGTCTCGGTTATCGTCGAAAGTGAATCCAATGTTGTTTTGATATGGGGAATGGGTGGTCTGGGGAAGACCACTCTTGCCAAAAAGATATACCATGATAGCCGAGTTAATGATCAATTTGTTCATGTGGTTTGGGCTTATGTTTCTGAGCAGTACCAGAGAAGAAGAGTTTGGCTAGACATTTTGTCTGGTCTGAACATTCCCTTTCAAGTTGACTGGAAAACCAGGGATGAAGAGATATCAGAGAAGTTGTTTAAGTTCCTGAACAAGAAGAAATGTTTAATGATAATTGATGATATTTGGAGCAAAGAAGCTTGGGATAGCATAAAGCCTGCATTTCCAGAAAAGGATACAAGTTGCAAGATATTGCTCACCTCTCGGAATAGAGAGGTAGTTTCAGATGCAGATGGTAGCAGAGTTTACGTGCACCCGTTGCAGCTCCTAAGCCCGGATCAAAGCCGGGACTTGTTTCGAAAGATTGCGTTTCCTCAAGGTAGTGTGTTCTATTCAACTTATTTTTTTTCTTGGGTTAACTACACGGATGTTCATTTGTGTTCGATTGTTTTGTTCACTTTTAGTCACCGATTTCAAAAAACATAAGATATAGTCACTTTCGTTTTTATTTAATTAAGATATGGCCACTTTCATTTTTATTTAACTAAGATGTGGTCATCACGGGTTAACTGCGGTTAACAGAATATCATATGTGATAGTTGATATAATCACACATTTGGTCTCTGTTATTTACATATTCTCTCAATTTCATCATACTTTTAAATAAATAATAACATAAAATATATATTTTTAAATTAAATTAATAAAAAATATATTTAATAAGTTAATATATATACAATATTATGAATTTAAGTGCTTGTACACTAATATATAAAATATATACACTATGTTGTCTACTTTAAATATTGCAATGGTCTTGGCTTAATGGTTGGATATATATTTAGTTTCCTAAGTGACCAATGTTTGAATTTTTTTACCTCAATTTGATTTCCTTTGTTTTCATTTCAACTAAAGGGTGACCCATGTCACTCTTTGATTGGTGCAAATAAATATATTAAATTAAAATAAATTTAGTTCTCCAAGTGAATGGTGAGATGTGATATAATTCGATTGGAGAATTAAATTTATTTTAATTTATTAAAAGTATGACTAAATTGAGAGAATATATAAATAATATGAACTAAATTGAAAGAATATATAAATAATATGAAGCAAATGTGTGATTATATCAAAAATATTTAACTGCTGTTAGAGGCAGTTAAACTCATAGTGGTCACTTTTTAACTAAATAAAAACGAAAGTGGTTATATATTATGTTTTTTGAAATCAGTGACTATATTATAGGATTAAATACTTCAATTTGTTTTTCAAAGAGTAAAACACAGAAAGAAAATCAAAGAGTAAATAAATTATAAATACCAAAGTGAATAACAATATATTTTCTTATATTGAATACCTTTTAAAGAAATAAAAAATTAATGTACAAAATAAAATTGAATTAATATAATTATTTGTTTTTCATACAAAAATCTTTAGCTATCGAATTTGAATAAGAAACAAAAGAGCTTTTGAATTCATTAAACAGTAATTAACAAAGATTAAACTCAGAATATTTCAACTCACCGTATTATAGTGAGATCATTTGTCTACTTTACTCCAAGTAACAGCTACTTTGCTCTTATTTTTGGACAATCAAATGAATATCATTACTAAGCCTAAGTTGTAATTGTTGAGCCCTTTCTTTTATTTATTTTTAAAAATTTTACAGGTCGTCAAGACGAAGGAGAAAAGAAAAAGCTAGGCGAACAAATGGTTGATCGTTGTGGAGGGTTGCCATTAGCCATTGTTGTGCTGGGAGGAATTTTGGTGACAAAAGATTCAGTAAATGAATGGCAAAAGGTGGCTGATAATGTGGAATCCTTCTTGAAGAGAGGCCAAGGCCATGGAGTGGAAGAAGTGTTGGCATTAAGCTATGATGATTTGCCGTACTACTTAAGGCCGTGCTTTTTGTACTTGAGTAATTTCCCGGAAGATTTTGAGATACAGGTCTATAGATTGATTCAACTATGGGTGGCTGAAGGTATAGTTTTATCAGAGGAAGGGGATGGGAACATGGCAGAGGATTTGGCAGAAGGTTACTTAATCGAGCTAGTACAAAGGTGCATGGTCCAAGTACGAGACAGAGACGTCGCAACCTCAAAGATCAAAACAGTTCAAATGCATGATCTCATGAGAAATCTTTGCTTCTCAAAAGCAAACCAAGAAAATTTTCTCAGCGTGGTTGATAAGTCAAACGCATGTTCGATTTCCACAGTACGAAGGATACGTAGAGTTTCAACAACCAATATTTTGTGGTTAAAACGCATTAAAAGTCCAAATATCCGATCATTTTTGTTCGTAGGTATGCATTTATCGTTATACGAGTTATCTAAAGCGATGATGGTACTTACAGAACAGGAGTTCCACAAAATGCTTGATTACAGGAAAAAACATAAAGAAGAACGTGAAGTTGACGGTCTCCTTTTGGATATTGAAGTACATGGACTTTACACATACATGTTCAACAATTTCAAATTGCTGAGAGTCCTTTCGTATGAAGGAAAATATTCTACGTGGTTCGGCCTCAAGTTATCAAGTGATATAGGTAATCTCGTCCATTTAAGATTGTTGAGTCTAGGGAATCTTTATTTCTCATGTTTTCCATCATCTCTGGGCAACTTGAGGTGCCTGCAAACCTTGGATTTAAGAGTTCATGGAAAAACTTTTGTACCTGATGTGATATGGAGGATGGGGCAACTAAGACATCTCTATCTTCCTTGGAGATGTGCACGAAGAACAAAGTTGAAGTTGCATACTTTGAGAAACCTCCAAACACTTGTGAACTTCAACGCAACGAATTGTTACTTGAAGGATCTCAAAAACTTGACAAATCTTAGAGAGCTGGAGATTCAGGGGCCGTTCGAGATCGATGATTTTAACGAGGAGGTCATCCGGAGTAAATATCTTCACTCCTTGTCCATTTTCAATGATGGAGGAAGAATAGATCCAAAACATTTGAATCACCTCCTTTCAAGCTGTGGTAGTATTTGTAAGCTGAGTTTAGATGCGGAGATAAGTGAGATACCGCAGTACGAAAACTTGTCTCTGAATCTTGCTTACATAAAGTTGAGAAAGAGCAAGATTGGGGGAGATCCAATGCCAACACTCGAGAAGCTACCTAGCTTAAGGGTTCTTGAATTGCATGAGAAAGCTTTCACCGGAAAGGAGATGTTTTGCTCTGCACAAGGTTTTCCTAAACTCGACTCCCTAAGCCTTATCTATCTCGATCATTTGGTGGAGTGGAAGGTGGAGGAAGGAGCCATGCCATGTCTTCGACAATTGCAGATCAAATGGTGCGACAAGCTGGCGATGTTTCCAGACGGACTGAGGCCGCTCGTTAAAACCCTCCAACTGAACGTTGAATTAATGATGCCAGAGGAATTCAAAGAAAGTGTGAAGGAAGGAAGAGAGGATTTCATCAAAATCCATCGTGTTCCTTCTAACACATTCCAGGGCTGTGATGACTAGCAATTATGATTATTGGCAGGTGATTTCATAATCTTGCTTATATACTGAAATGCTTAATCCTTTTACACTAATTCAAACTATATATTTTGCATATTTAGATCCAAATTAGACACGATTCATAGCAGCTGCAACTTTTCCCCTAAATCTCTGAAGTTTTCTTTCCATTTGCTTAGATTTTCTTCTTCCATTTTATATATTGCATGTATCGCTAATCAAATGAAATTCCATTGGTATCTTCAATACGACATGACATTTTTTTTTCTTGTACAGGGAAAGAAGGCGATTGTATTGTGGATTGGAGATGTAAAATAGTGTTGTTATTTGTGTAAACTGATGTTATATAGTATGATAATTGTAGTATGATGCATATGATTTTAGTATGTAATTGGTTTGAACTTGCTTTAGTGTTGTGGTTCAAAGTACTCTTTTCCTCATTTTACGATTAGTGAGGTTTTTAATGAGGCTTTGATCGGGGTGTTGTTCCTTTTAAAACATCTTTGCTGATAAAAAAATTTGTTTGATGTTTGTCTTATGATTGTACAATATTCTCAATCTAGTCTTATGCTACTTGAACATTTTGCTTAGCAAACTAAAGCATGGGAAGTTGTTGAAAGAGTAGAGTTTGAACCCTCTTTCCACAGGGATAGAGAGTTGGGGTAAGAGTTGTTTAAAATACAAAAATCGGATTAGTGACGGATTCATAATTTTTTTTGATGATGGATAATATATATTAACTACGTAATTTTTTTATATAGAATGGACACTAATAAAATTTCAGGGTGAACACAATCAGTAAGTAACTATTTGAAGACAATTTAGATTTCATGATGGACACGTGTCAACCGTAAAACCTTAGTGGATCTGCCATTGGATCGGACTAGATAAACATAAATAAAAATAAATAGAGAAAAATATGAAAAGAGAAAGCAGAGCAATGGGTGCACATCCTACGGGTGACTCCAAATGGCGAGATCTTAACCAACTATAGATTGATTCAACTATGGGTGGCGGAATCCACCCATCATTCAGAGTAAATATCTTCATTCCTTGTTCATTTTCAATGATGAAGGAAGAATAGATCCAAAACATTTGAATCACCTCCTCTAAGCTGTGGTAGTATTTGTAAGCTGAGTTTAGATGCGGAGATAAGTGAGTTACCGCAGTACGACCACTTGTCTCTGAATCTTGCTTACATAAAGTTGAGAAGGAGCAAGATTGGGGAAGATCCAATGCCAACACTCGAGAAGCTACCTATCTTAAGGGTTCTTGAATTGCATGAGGAAGCTTTCAAGATGTTTTTCCCAGCACAAGGTTTTCCTAAACTCGAGTCCCTAAGCCTTGAAAGACTCGGACATTTGGAGCAGTGGAAGGGTGAGAAAGGGGCCATTCCGTGTCTTCGACAATTGCAGATCGAATGGTGCAGAGGGCTGACGATGCTTCCGGATGAACTGATGTCCATTAAAACCCTCCAACAACTGAAGATTGAAAGTTAGCCATACAAATTCAAAGAAAGAGCGGAGAAAAGAGTAGAGGATTTCAGCAAAGTCCAACATGTTCCTTCTATCACATTCAAGGGCTGTGACGACTAGCAAAGTCCAACATGTTCCTAATTAAATATGATTCATAGCAGCTGCAACTTGTTTCCTAAATCTCTGACGTTTTCTTTCCATTTGCTTAGGGTTTCTTCTTCCATTTTATATATTATATGTATCGATAATCAAATTAAGTTCCATTGGTATCTTCAATAATGACATGACACTTTTTTTTTCTTGTGCAGGGAAAGAAGGCAATTGTATTGTGGATTGGAGATGTAAAATAGTGTTGTTATTTGTATAAGCTGGTGTTATATTGTATGATAATTGTAGTACGATGCATATGATATTAGTATGTAATTGGTTTGATGTTTGTCATATGATTGTACAATATTTATGCTACTTGAACATTTTGCTCAGCAAACTAATGCATGATAAATTGTTGAAAGAGTAGAGGTTGAACCCTCCTTTCACAAGAATAGAGAGTTGAGGTACAGTGACGACAGATTTAGAAATATTTTTGAGGATGGATACACATTTATTAATTACATAAAATTTTATACAATGTGAGTACTTATAAAATTTCAGGGTAGATACAATCAAAAAAATAAATAATTATATGCAGTGAGGCCAATGAAGGTGCCAACCATGACGCTTTTAGTACCTTCTTTAGTGTTACCGGATCCGGAAAGTATGTACTGGGAGCATTGTTCATCGACCTAGAACCGACGATCATCGACGAAGTTAGAAGCAGGTGTTACCGACAACTGTTCCATCCTTATTTCCTGCAAGGAAGATGCTGCTAATAACTTTGCAAGAGGACATTAAACAGGTACAATATTAAACTCGTTCGATTTCGAGTTTAAATCATTTCAGGTTCAGGTCAATTCAAATAGTCTGTTTCGAGTCCAAGTCGTTGATTTTTATCATATGGTTCAGCGGGTCGGGACATTGTGGAAGTTTGCCTTGACCGATTGAGAAAATTGGCTGATAACTGCAGTGGATTGCAAGTGTTTTTGATGTTCAATGCTGTTGCAGGTGGGACTGGTTCTGGTTTAGGCTCATTGCTTTTGGATTTACCGTCTACCCTTCTCCTCAGGTAAATTTCGATTTAAATTACGTTATCGATCGAATATCCGAATCCGATAAATTATTCTAATTTAATAATTTCAGTCTAATTCGAAATATGAAACTCAAATTTTGTTAAAACTTGTGCATGTTACTAATGGTTATCTCCAATTGTGGAGGTTTCTACTGCAGTTGTTGAACCTTACAATAGCGTGCTCTCACACTTTCACTCCTTGAACACACTGATGTTGTGGTGCCTCTCGACAACGAAGCTATATACAATATCCGCCGGCGATTGTTGGATATCGAACGTCCAACTTACACGAATTTGAGCCGATTGATATCTCAAATTATCTCGTCTTTGACGACTTCGTTGTGGTTCAATGGTGCTATAAACGTCGACATTACTGAGTTCCAAACAAACCCCGTGCCGTATCCTCGAATCCATTTCATGCTCTCATCATATGCCCCGGTGATCTTGGTCGAAAAGGCTTACCATGAAAAGTTATTGATTCCTCAGATTACTAGTGCTGTTTTCGAAAATGTGATCCGCGGCACGGTAAGTACAATGTATGTCTATTTTATATTGGTTGAGGAATATATGGTGTATTAAGATTAATATAAAAATAGAAATATCTCACATTGGATAAAAAATTAGCTCCACATGAGTTTATCTATTTCAAAGAGAAAGTATGTATGGATGGATGGATGGATGGATGGATGGATGGATGGATGGGGATGGATGCATGGGGATGGATGGATGGATGGATGGATGGGTAGATAGATAGATATCATTAAGATTATGTACTATGAATGATTTGATTGGCGTAAATGGGCGGAATCCGACTATCTTGTTCGTCGTCCTCATCATCATGGAACGGCATGGAGAGCTGAAGATGGTCCATGCTTTGAGAAGAATTAGGAGCAGTTGTGGTAGTTTCGGACACAAGTTCGAAATTGGAGGCGAAGTTGCTTATGTTTATTAGGTTATTCGATGCCGAGGAATTGTTCGAGTATGCTGGCCGGAGCAACGGTATATGTTGTTCATGTTGTTGGTGATTATGGTGGTGTTGTTGCTGCTGTGAGCTTTGAAGGGCATTCACCATTGCGAACCGACTGTTGATCAGCTGGTTTTGCACCATCACTAGTTCGGCTTGCAAAGATGCTACCTGCGAAAAAATAAACTTTGTAACATTCTTCGTAAAAGAATCAGAATATTTAATTGGTTTCCATTAAAAAAATGAATGAATTTGGAAGAAACTAAAATATGGTAGTGTATGTGTAGATTAACCTGTTGTTGTAAAGAAAGTATGGTCGAGACGCAACCGTAAACCGGGTCCGATAGCCTGGCCTGAGCTTCGTACGATATCGTGACCACCGCATCATGTCGTCGGTTCACCGGTATGTGAAGCAAGAGCTTGGAAACGTTGCTAGCACCGAAAACCTTGTGAACCGCGGCGAATTTTGCCGCACCCTGATCTGAGCCAAAGTGTGGTGCGAAAATGCACCCACTAATACACTTCCTCCTCAAGAACTTGCACGCACCGCACGGTGCTGCTGGGGCCGGGGAGACTTCCGGTACCAAAACCGACTCGACCTCGACGGGGATGTTGCCTCGCTTGTCGGGGCCCTTCCTACGGGTAGTTTCGGACACGAGGTGGCAGTGTGGCTCGGCCATTTCGAGGGCGATTTAGGGTTAGGTTTTGAAGAGAGCAAATGTGGAAAGGTGGTGAGTCTTTGTGGCGCTTACATGTGATTGGGAGGGCACGTTGGTCTCGTGAATGTGGATACCTTTCCTTTTGTGCCATTCTTTTTATATATATATATTGGGTCCAACAAATAAATAATATAAAGATTTTGGATGTGTGCGTGTGAGAGTTGAGGGAAAGGGTTGTCTTTACGAGAAAGGCACAAGATTTGTGCTGCCCGTGGCGTGTGGGACTAGTACCAAACTAGCATGGATGTCATGCCATTTCCCATCAATGAATGCAAGTTTGAGCTTCAAGTCCTTTCTTGTTATCATTTATATAATCATTTCATATTTCAATATAAAAGATTGAATCTCAGTGATTAAATGAATGATTATTATTTTTAGAGATTTCAGATTCGAACACTAACGATTGCGAGATATTTGAGCATTCATTATCAAATGTTTCCAATTAGGGACGAAGCTATTCTTTGTAACGAGGGATCATTGCCCCTATTTTTTATTATTAGAAAATATATAGGTAAATATCGAATTTTATATTTAATTTTTAATAGAGGTGTTTTTTTTCATTTTAGTTAAAATTTGATTTAGTTTTAAATGTTTAATGGGTTTAGTATAAAATAATTGGGACTTAATTCTTAACGAGTTTGAGTTTAATATGTGTATATATATATAATGTATTTAATATTTTTGTTAATTTAGTTAATTAATCAAATTCGATTTGAATTAACCGTTAATCAAATTTTGAAAATTTTCTCAATCATTAACTGGTCTAACATTAAATTAATCGCTCAATCAACCGAATTAAATTCCAGTTCGATCAATTAATTTGATTAATACCAAAAAGTGAATACTCATAGTTAGGACCCAGTTACACCTAATATAAAATCTTCATTTTACACATTGATAGCTAGATGAGTGGAAATAGAAAACTGAAATTATCTCTTTAATACTTTTCTGTAACACTCCCAGACCGATGCGGATGACCTGATCTAATCCGGGATGTCACATTAAGGCCACCAGAGCAACCCACAATAAAAAATCCATAAAA